CAGGCCATGTGCGCAGCTCATACCCAAATAATGAAGAATGAGTGGTTCGGTATTTAACAATCGTAGAAAACTTTTTTTTTATTTTATTTTATTTTATTTTTTTTGACATGGTAGTGGTTGGTGCATGCTGAGCTTAAGCTTATATACCTTCTATAACTTGAATAACGCTGCCAGCAACGATGTGCAGAATGTTGGGTCAATTCGAAGGCAAAGGTTCCTATTTTATATTCATTAGATTTTGTCATTCTTTTTTAACCCTCCATCATTATTACTTACCTGCAGGGCGAGCACCGTCAACCAGCTCCTACAGTGTATAAATGCAGTATCTGCAGTTGCCTAGGAGTAGATGTAGACCATGCTCAAGCAATAAAGGGTGAGTTTGATTTGCAACGGTTTGATTTTTTCTTCTCAGCAATAGACTATTAATCCTTAGTTTTTTCCTGTTTACTGCTTGCTTTAATAGCGTTGTTAGTAACTCAGTGCAAAATGGCGCTAGGCCTGTGTGCACACGAAGTATTGTTTTGAAGATGGTGGAGATGAAAATGAAAGACCCGTGCAAAGACAAGGGTGTGCTACTTTTTGTTCGGTTTTTTATTGGCTTATTATACTGTATTATACATTGCGTGTACTTAATCTTACACAATTACCATTTACCACTTACCATTGACCTTCAGAATACACGAGCGTAAAGGTGATCCTTCTGTTGAGGATGCTCCTTCTACCGAAGATAATTCCTTTGCCGAAGACAACTTTCTACCACCCGCTAGAAAAAGGTTTCAGCAAGATTTCGTTTCGGGTTCCAATATTATGCAATATAGGTACCGCTTAGAACCGATGGTCAGTTGCCATTATTGCGGTGCCTTCATGTTTATTGAAGAATGTGTGTGCAACGCAGTAGTAAAAGCCGGCCAGAATTTCCTTTATGCTGTGGGAGAGGTCAAGTGGATATTCCTCCACTTAGCCTTGGTTTAACTTCTTGATGGGCAGAGCCGCAAGGTAAGTTATTCCGTTAACACATATAAGCATATAACTGCGCTCTTTTGTTCACGTCCATGGAAGTGAACCTTGATAAAGACCTTGCGAACAACCTATATGGAGTGTACACGCTTCGTATCATTGAAAGGGTTGGTACTCTGATTGATCCTATGACGCCAACTGAAGGCGCTGCCTCTCTGTTCCTGCAGGCTCACGCTCACATTCATGACCCTGCTCAGCAAGCAAGACTCCGTAATAACCATTTCGGGGATTCCTTGATGAAGGCCTGTTGCAGTAACCACAGCAGCTCCTTGAACTACACTACCCGATAGCCCATACGCTCAAAGACGTCAGAGAATGTGCGCACGAGGATATCATGCGGCTGAAGGTCGTCATCCGTGCTGGGCCTCAGCATGAGGGGAGAGGGCAAAGGCGAATGCAGTACAGGCCCTCTCATCAACTGGAATCGTGCTATTGATGGCTGGCGCCAGTAGTAAGGTTTCTCAGCAAGGCATCATAATTGAAAGCAGAGCCAGTGGTTTGAAAAAAACCAGTGAGGTTCATCCAGCTCACGAGAGTCTCCATAATAACCTCTTGCATCCAAAAGGCGAGGACTGGACATATAAAAAATATAAAAAATGGCCTAGGCCAGGTCAAACCTCTGCAGGGCCTCATGGTGACAGCTATGACGGTAGCGAAAACGGCCAGCTAGAGGTGGATGTAGGTGAGGGCGATGGCCGAGCTAGGAAAAGTCGAGAATACGCCAAGCTGGAGGAGTTTTACACGTACAGGCTGCAGATTCGTCCTTTGAGCTCAACAGACCAGCGATTTTTCATCAGGATGAATACATGCTTGACTTATTAGTACGCTACCGATCAATACAGTAGGCTTGAGGTGGATCAGCTTCAATTCATCAGCGAGAACCAATCTAAGCTGAAGACGGATCCATATATCGGTGTTGTGGGTGCAATTGAACTTAATCTCAGACCTGGGCTATACATACGGGACATTGTCTACAAGGATGCTTTGTAAATAAGCATCCTCTCATTTACTACCGTATCTTCCAAATATTCTGCCTTATTTTGTGTTTTATTTTTTGTTTATTTTACTACTGTACATGTATATAATCTTAACTGATTTGCTTTATTGTATTTTATCGCGCGATTCGTAAAAAAGACCCAATCAATAAAAAAGTTATGCAAAGATACAATTGGTTGTATTTGACTACGATTTTTATTTTCACTTTATTTTGCCCTCATGAAATTTCTAACGAGGCAAGGCAAGAGCCGGCCGTGGCGAAGCCACGGTCTCCGGCTCGTTATAATTATTATGGAAGCAGTTTGATGTACTATTCTCAAATTATTATTTTATACCTCTTTAGTTCTGCCCTCAAGTCTACCTCGCTGTAATTCTGCGTTTAAGTCTACCTCCATGACATATTGCTTGATACTTGATAGTTTTTTTGTCGGTTTAGGATCCACCCGATCAGCCCCAATCTTGAATTTTTGTTTCTTATATTCCCCAGCCTTAGCTTCTGGAACAACAAAAATCAATACAACGTCCTTCTCAGAGCGAATCCACTTTTTTTCTTGAAGCTTTTTAAGAAGTTCTTTGCAAGATTTCTAACACAAATTGCTGGTGATCTCCTATTGGACGACGATGAAGAAGTGGACTGCTATATTGTAGTGAAACTTTGGCCTGTTCAAAATATTGTAACAGCTTCAATGGATCGTTGAGGTTGTCGAGGGCTGTTTCTACGTGACTGTATGCTTCCCTCCTAGCTCCATCAAGATCTTTTTCATTAAAGTGCAGTCGGTTCGCTGGTTTCTCGAGAACATACCTTGGCACACCACCTATCTTCTCATAGAGTTCCATCATAAATTCTTCGCTGACGATGTTAAAGGTCCGAACCATTTTTCTACACTGTCTTAACTCATCCAGCTCCCATGGTGCCATGTAATAAGTCCATACCACCTTCTTTACAATTTCTTTATACATGTTAGACTCGGAAAATAACGTATTTGGTGATACTGAGAAGATAGTTCGAGCCTTCCTAAGCTCCGGCTTTGGTGAGCTGTCGACTAGGAACCAAGTGTTAGGTAGGTCTAGGAAGGCGGTGAAATCCTTTATATCTCCATTTCGAACAGTAGATGACCCACCAAAAGCGTAGCACTTTAAATCCTCTTTTTGCTGGATGATGACAATAGGTGGGTCATCCTCGGTACTGGTTGCAAGTAGTCGGATGGCAAAATAGACCAGAAAGGATGACTTCCCTATATCAGCCGTCCCTGTAACAACAATACGGTTTCGTGCATTGTTCTCAGCGTTGCAAAACTGTTTGGTGATTAAATCGTAGAGATCCTTGAATTCCTTTCTTACATATAGATCTTGCGCATCGATCACCGGAAGATCCGTCCCTGGTAGACTGGATATCACATAATCTGCTAATATTTTGGAACCCTTGATACCACCAGAATTTCGGAGCTCGCGAGCCACGCTAATAATGCTGTAGTAAATACTACCTCTTGATGGCTCCCCCATGTACGAAAGCACCTTGATCCTCTCTTTCGAGTTGAGAGGCGAGATGTTAGGGTCACCATCCACTATCCCTTTCGTTACAAGCCCTGCTTCTGTAATCGCATCCCTAAGAGTACTTCTGCTACATATACTTGGACGAGCTTTTTTAGAGGGTGACTCTGATAAAGGAGATAGAGTGATCAAAGTCAATATTTTTGATTTATTGCACATCACTCTAAAATGATCAATAACCAGGTTCTCAGCCAAAATCACTCACCAGAATCTCCATCTTGTTTTCTTTTCTGAGCTAAGTATCAAAAGCGAATAATGAGAAAGAACGTTGAGTTATCAAGACACAAACCAAATGGTGATATTATGCACATGGCCGTTTAAGATATAAACCAAGCTTCATCAGCTGGAAATATCAACAATCAGTCCATCAAGAGCCAAAGATATACCTCGCTGTGGTGGCTTGACAAAAACATGGATAGTTTCCTTTGGAAGTTCAGAATAAAATATGTCCCCAAGCTCCTTTGACGCGGGTGCGAGAGCCTCTTTCGACACAATTTCCGACTCAACAAAAGTCTTGTCTTCGTCAGGGATGGAAACCTTGTAGAGGGTGAGTTGGTCAGCGTCGATATCCTTAAATGCATTGCCTTTCTTTGCTTTGATGACCTCCTTGAGTATTCCGACCGATTTATCGGAGGAAATCCCTACTGGGAACGACGTTGCTTCTCCCTCAACAACGCAGTTCAGCTTCAGTAGCAGTGGGATGGCGCGCTTTTTTCGTTGTGGGTGTTGGTTTTCTCTTTTTCGTTTATTGAGTATGGAGGCATCCTCAGGCTTATTTGCAGTCATTGTTTTTTGTGCTTGGCTCCCTGTGGAATCATTTGCAGCCATGTTTTTTGTGTTGAGCTTCTTGTGGTGTCCATTGAAAATTAAGATGAGCGGGACTGAGTGTGGTTGAAATGCAGGGAGAATGATGGTTAATTAGGCAAAGGTATATTCTATACTCTTTCATCCGTGGTCACTGTATGAAAACAAAAATGAAAAATATGTAAGCAAAAAAAAAAAGGAAAGGAAAGGAAAGGAAAGGAAAGGCAATAGATGAAGGCTTGGAATAAATAAAAGAGGAAAATCGACGGGAGTAAACTGGGGTGAAATATGAAAAAAGTGAAAAAAAAAAGGGTAAAGGAAGAGGGAGAGAGTGCAAAAATGAAGTGAAGCAAAGGAAAGAAAGGAAAGAAAGGAAAGAAAGGAGCGACAATTGCAATTGATCCTTTATTTTAAGGTTAGGCGATGTGTGAGAAAATATTTTTTTCAAATCAGCCACGTGCCATTTTCTTAGTCATTCTGACGTGAAAACCAAGGTTGGTATCGCGGGACTATAGCATCATTCTTCTTTCTGAACAATGGCTACAGAAACATGGGTTCAATGGGTCTTGAAATGGTCTTCACTATTCTTTCTTGCCACTTCCGGCGCGGTCCTAATACTCTATACGGGATTGATGTTTTATTGTAATGCAAGGATCTTGAGTAATTTTAGGGCCAACAGGACAAGGATTTTTGAACAGCAGGCAAAAGAGAAGGCGGCCAGGGACAAGGATCATGGAGGATCAAATGCCACGGCAAGTGTAGACGTTGGAGCTGAGGCTAAAGAAGGAGAAAAAAAGGACAAACCCTATCTTATTGCAGGATTCTTCCATCCTTATTGGTAGGCAGAGAAATAAAAAACTTGCGAGTCATTTAGTTCTACATCATTCAACCATCGCTTCAAGTCAACTTTGCTACTTATATATTTCCATCTTTTATTTGGGCCCACTCCATTCATTTATAGTAATGCAGGAGGTGGTGGGGAACGCGTTCTATGGACAGCGATTCGAGAGATTCAGGAGAAATATCCACATGTTATATCTATCGTCTATACAGGAGATACAGATGCCACAAAGGATGATATCCTTGAACGAGTCCGAACGCGTTTCAACATTAATCTAGACTCATCCTTAGTTGGCATTGAGTTTCTTCAAAAGCGTTTTTTGGTAGAGAGTACTCAATGGCCTCGATTTACATTAATTGGACAGAGCATTGGATCCGTTGTTTTAGGATGGGAAGCATTAAGGCGTGTGGTGCCTGATATCTGGATCGGTAAAAAAAATTACTTTGATCGCCCATTTTTTGCCTCTCTTATAAATCATCCATGGTTCATTGAAATAGAAAATATGTGCTAAAAAGGACGGACATTGTCATCACTACTATCAACCAAAAAAATAGATACTATGGGATACGCATTTACATACCCAGCAGCAAGGATGTTTGGCAACTGTCAAGTGGTGGCCTATGTACACTACCCAATCATTAGCTCTGACATGATTGGTCGCGTCGCCAGCCGTGAGAGTGCACACAATAATGCTGATCATGTGGCCAAGAGTCTATTTTACACTACACTGAAGCTGATCTACTATCGGATGTTTGCAGTCCTATATGCGGTCGTTGGCTCCTTTGCGGATATTGTCATGGCTAACTCTTCATGGACAAAGGGTCACATTGATTCACTCTGGAAAATTCAATCGACAGTGGTCTATCCACCTTGTGATACTGAAGCATTTAAAGACTTTTCATTGGCAAATCGCGGGAGGATCATTGTGAGTGTTGCGCAATTTCGGCCGGAAAAGGGACATGGCTTGCAATTAGAGGCCATGGCACAACTATTGAAAGACCATCCAGAATACCGCCAAAAGGTGGACCAAGGGGCCAATAAGGCAGACAATCCACAAGCAGTACAACTAGTCATGGTTGGAAGTGCTCGCAACGAGTCGGATCAACGCCGGATTCAGCAATTGAGGGATAAAGCTGCTGAGCTTGGCATTTCTGTAAGAAAATAGGAAGAAAAACATCACTTACTTTTTCTTTCACATATGGTCATATGAGGTATCAGCGCTAACGAGATACTTTCCTTTCTTTTTTTTTTTTTTTTTTTTTAAAAAAAAAAAAAAAAAAAAAAAAAAAAAAAAAAAAGGACAACGTGCAGTTTGTAGTGAATGCTCCTTTTAAGGTCCTTCAAGAGTGGCTAGCACGTTCCAAGATTGGTATCCATGCCATGTTGGATGAGCATTTTGGAATCGGCGTCGTTGAGTACATGGTAAATTAACCGTATATTTTAGTTTATAAACTTTGACATGGCATGAACAATATATTCATGTATTTCAACGTCGTGATACTATACTAATATAAAAAGTAATTGCTAAATCAGGCCGCAGGATTAATTCCGGTAGCTCACAACTCTGCAGGACCCAAAATGGACATTGTACGGCCGTTCCATAACCAGCCTACTGGGTATTTGGCCATTACACCTCAGGAGTTTGCCGATGCAATCCACAAAGTGCTCACCACACCTGATGATAGACTGCTGGATATGCAACTTTGTGCTCGAGATAGTGTTCAGGAACGTTTCTCAGAAAAAGTCTTTAGCGACCAGATCCAGAAATGCTTGCACAAGGTTCTCTCGCGTGAGAAGGTCACCATCTTTGGAACCAAGCTTATTGACCCACCACAAGAAGTGCTTGCACTGGCACAAGAACAAACACAAAAAGAGTAACAGGGTTTATAAGCATTCTATTAGAAACGCCATATAATATTCAAAATATCTAAAATAAATAAATAAAGGATAACTAGTTCTATAGTGGATTAAAATACTCTCGCGCTCTTTTAGCAGCGGTCTTTAGTGATGTCCAGCCTACGATCTCAGGCATGAACCCATCGGCATCAGCTATTATGCCCTCCTTTTCAGCGTCAAGGTAATTGCGAATAATATTCAAGCGCCTTATCGCACATAGTATGCTGTCCTGTTTTGTTCGTGCGATCTCAAACAAAGGTGCGTTCCATAGCGAGAACCCGCTATTATATGTCGCTGCCATTGATAGATCCATAGAAGATATCCTTGGTTGTTCTATTACGGCGCTCAAGGGGACTTTTTGAAAGATCTTAAGTTCCTCAAAAACTGCTGAAGGGATTTCTAGATCGATTCGAGCCTCCTTCTTCATGTCGTCATATATTGAGAATGTGAACGTAACAAACTCTTGCTCTTGTAGTTGTAACACGAACATACAGGTGTTCAAAGGAATAATTGTGCCTGCAGGGAGATCACAATCGACAAGGATAGAGTTGGCGAGAACCTTGGTCTCAGTAATGGAAGTGGGCATCGCAAGAGTGCCTGAACATGCAGAGAAGGACGAGTTTTCAATATACGATGGCTTATCTATCTGTATATGAGGATTTCCATAACTTTCTTTCGTTGCTATAGAGCCTATAAGATTGTCGACTTCAGCAAGTCCTTCAATCTTATTCCGGATATTAAGCTCTGACATGAACGCCTTGTCAACACATACAGCCTCTAGAAATTCCTGCATGGTACCTAAATGATAAAATCTAGACGCATTCAAGACCATGACATCCAAAGCGATCCCTGCTTCCTGAAGAGCCTGCTTGACAATTTGTTGGTCATTAGAAGATTCAAGTGAAGGAACATTATTCTGGAAGCTGAGGATATCAGCCCATGCTTCCAAGTCGCATTCAGGATGGAGCTTTGGATATGTCTATTCAGATCAAGGCGTTGTTATACAGGAGCTTGATTAATACATTTTTGTAAATACAAAAAGGGGACTAAACTAAAGAAGAGCGTAAGGAGATCAAATCTCAAGATCATTGGAAAGGAAATATAAAAAGCACTCACATCAGCCATGATTTCGGCAGTCTTCGGATCAAAATAATAGCAGCTATCAGTGTAAACAATCCTCTCATCGTCATTCGAGGCATCGCCATGAATGAGCATGGGAATTTTCTGCATGGTTTCTATGTAAAAAGAAAGAAAAAAGAGTTCGTTAAATATTCTCTGATAATCATAATCGCAATGCTTATTTTTGAAATAGGCAAACTACACCAATTTTTTTTTCCTCCTTCCTTTGCTACCAACCTAGTGATGGTTTATGTATAAACTGCTGACACTTCAACAACCTCGCTGACTGCGCTTCTGGCCTCAGCTTCCTATCGATATCAACAATACCATTTGGGTCCTGTAATAAATAAACTCCATGCGTGCTTCCGATCCGGGTTGAAGAGGGATGTGCTAGAGCTGTAATCGTTCTTGCTTTGGGTTGGCTAGGAAAGGGAGTGTTGGATGAGAATAACTCGATTCCATCAGCGCTCGTCAAAAACACCTACATTTTTTTTTTTTTTTTTTTTTTTAAAAAAAAAAAAAAAAAAAAAAAAAATCAGGTTTTCGTTTCTTTTTCATTGATAACTCGAGAGTTAAAAATCAGTCATCTCTGCTCTTACTCCTGGAGGCATGTCTTTGAGTAGGTGCATATATAGTACAAATTTTAGATCCAATACGTCGATACCTTGCTGAGAGTCGGCTATTATAGTTGTCATTGAAAAATATTGATATTTGTGGATTTCTTGTCAAATATGATTTCCATGATGACGATGCAGCTGTGTTTGACTAGGTGAAGCACAAAAATAAAAAAATATAATAAAATGAAAGTATACCTTGAGGAAGCGTGGTAAAAATCTTTCCTCGAGCACTAACATGCGGTAAGCGGGTACTATAACCACCAGCATGGATCAAAAGAACACGTGCTAAGAAGTCATAGACAATGAAATAGTTTCAGCTGCTTTGTCCTCGAGTCTTTAAATTTGAGTAATGAGGTCAATTGTCTGCTAGATTGAGTATGCCCACCATTTTCGAGGAATTCCTGCGAATACATCTCTCGAAGCACTTTCATTACCAGAAATGTCGAACCTCCGCCTCCAATCTTGGACTGAGGCGGGTCTTCTACAACATGATATCTAAAGAAAAAAAGAAAAAATCAATATTACTATTTTCATATGACCAGGACAGTGGATCATCAACATCATCACAAAAGAAAAGGCTCCTCACTTGACGCTAGTGGGTATTTGACCTCGTGCTAATTTCTGGTCAATTCGATGCTCGTAGACAAGTCGATGCTGTTTGTCGCTTGCTGTAATGACTACAACATCCCAGAAGATGTCCAAAGGAGGCTCATTTGTCTCATTTGCTGAACATTCTTGCGCTGACAACAATCGTTTATAGGCAGTAAGATTTCGTGCATGTGTGTTTCGAAGCACCTCTGACAAAGATTGATGATCATCTTGACTATTTCCATTGGCACTCATGCTTTTTTTTTTTTTCTTTAATAAGAGTAATGCTCTAAAGAATCATACCCCACAGGAAACAATTTGTTGTTTCAGATCTGATAGAAAGTAACTTAAAATAACATTTTAGAACAATTCTTAGACAAGTTAATTAAAAAATTGAGCTAACCAAAAATGGAACAATCATATCTAGGTGAATCATAAAAATTGATCTAAATCAATCGAAACACATTACACTTGGAAATCTAATTCATTCGTTTTGCCACTGGCTTCTTCATTATCATGAAGCAAGCGTCAGAAAATACCATTGGGGCTGATTCCACCGTACCATACCACAGCAAGCCCGAGCGGATTCAGGAGTTGCGTCGTCTGCTCCTCAATTCAATAGAAAAGTGCACCCCTTGCGACTGCATCCTTCTTTCTGGTGGCGTCGACACATCTATCTTAGCAGAGGCAGCCTTTTCTGTATACAATAATAAGAAAAAGAATGATGCATCTGATTCAAATGACGATGGTAACAAGAGTAGCTCTCGATTACGGCCAATGACAGGCGCTATTACGGTTCTCTGTACAGACCAAGCGACAGATGAATTCTATGCCACACAAATTGCTGCCAGAACTGGGATGGTCCAAGAGATTGTCAAGATCACACTGGACTCTGTACTGGAAGAACTCGAGTTCTGTATCAAGGTATTAGAAACGTTCGATCCTATGGAGCTCCGCAATGGCATCGTCATCGCTAGAGGATTGTCCGTAGCTAAATCACTAGGCTATAAGACAGTGATGACAGGCGATGGTGCAGATGAACTATTTGCAGGGTATTCGTTTCTACATGATATGTCCGCTGAGCGGCTCCAGGCTTATTCCGATAAATTAACCAAGGTAATGCGGTTTTCAGGGGTAAGGCTCGCTCAAGCATTGGGGATGGAATTAGTTCAACCTTTTCTGGATCCAGAATTGGTTGCATTCTCACAGCAATGTACTCGTGAGGAAAAGATCAATTACCATGATCATCTTAAAGAAAGAGAATGGCAAGATCGACTCTCAGGGAGACAACTTCATGGAAAGTTTATCTTGAGAGAGGCATTCGAGAACGAAGCCTTCTCAGCTTGGCGCAAAAAGGAACCCATCGAGGTCGGATCCGGAACAACAGTCTTGCCAAAATTATTTCAGGAATCCATGGCACCTGAGGACCTCAAAACGGAGCAAGACAAGATCTTGGCAGAAGAAGGGATTAAAATCAGGGATGTGGAACATCTAAAGTACTTTAAGGTGTTCAAGAAGGTCTTTGGAGATGACATGAACCAATATCCAGAAAAGCTTCAGAAAGATGGTCGAGATCCCTGCCCTGGTTGTGGATTCAACCTGACAACACCTGACCAAACTTTCTGTGTGATCTGTGGACAGTGGCCAGCTCGCGTCCTCCCACCGCCAGAGGAGGTTGCCAAGGCGGGGAATGCATCCGAAAATATAAAAATATAAAAATATAAAAATATAAAAATATAAAAATATAAAAATATAAAAATATAGAAATATTAAATACAGAAAATAAGTAATAAACCATAAAGAAATAAATATCGATTTTTTATTCAGCGGGTTTTTCATGAATGTCTTGTTAATGTTCTTTTAGAACGCCGTAGTCGTTTTTTACTCTCGGCAGTATTGTCATTCTCACTGTCATGATCGAGTAGTCTCTTTCGATTCATTTCTGTTGATTCGAAAAGCTTTGCCTGTCAAAGATTCAAAATTGTCAAACAACTTATGAATGTTCTCAAATAAAGGATGTCATACCTCTTTTCAAGAGCGTCTATCCTCTCACAAAGCATCTTAATTACTGCCTCATGTTTTTTAACACTATCCTGTAATGAATGGCCATCTGAACATGTATCGGCATTCGAGGCTGGAGGGACCGGCGGCTTTACAGGTCTTGTAGTGTCGTAACACAGATGTACGGATGAAATTTTTTTTTGCAGGGTGAGAAAGGCCATGTCTGACATGGGATCACGATGAATGAGGAAAGGTTCTGTTGTATTTTTTAACTCGATCTCAACCAGGGTGGATGAGTGATAACGATTTAAATGATCATGATATTCACGGAGTAATTTTTCTTCACCTTTTTTCTTTTTTTCCACGAGTCCTTTGGCACAAAAGAAAAAAATGTATTTGTTAGATTCACTCACTGTGGAAAGATAAAAAGAAAGATGAAAGAATGGTCAAGAGGAAAGAGACAAAGAACAAAACCAACACGCAGTGAGGGAGATGAGACACAAGAGAATGGAAGAAACACAAGAAAAAGGAAGAGATACAAAGCAAAAAAATAAATATGAGCATACAGGGGAAGAGACACGGGCCATTTTTTGGCAGACGTCGATTACGCCTTATCAGCGGCCCAATCGATGTGTCAATAAGTGGGTCAAATTCATTAAAGTTGAAGCCAACATAAAAAATTTGGTGTACGTGTTTCTCCTTTCAAATGTGGAAGGCTGTACATGGCTAACATCACTTTTGTGAGCCCATGTAGCCCAAATGTCGTAATGAAGCCCGGTTTGCGCATTTAAAGTGAGTTTAATGATCTGATATCTTTTTCAGAACAAATTAACACAGCCAAGTTTCGCGGTAAATGCCTTGTACTTCAGTATCATGTATTCGATTTGTATTTTCAGTTGTCATGAAGAAAGTTTCAGTCTTCTCTTTATACTTCCCTTTGTGTCCATGGCACTCTCAAGCTCATTTCTCGTATCAAAAAGTTCGAGCTCGAATTGTGCGAGCCTGGTAATCAATGCCAATTTGTGTCGTTTCAGGCTGACAAGCACGCCTATTCATAAAAAGTCAGCAACTATTTATTATTATTATATATACATAGTTCTTCAGATTGGGTGGATGCTACCACGTTGAATGGTGTTTACGTTATAGAAGATAATATGTCCTTACGACAAATTTGGTAGAACATGCTCCGCATGCATCGACATTTATATCATTTGCCCCAAAATAGGTCCCGCAATAAGGCTCGTGACGTGACAGCCAGGTTACCCAACTCGACCCGAAGCCTTTCTGACTAATATATAAATATAGATTAAGGTATAGATACATAAAGTAAATTGTTTGTCATTAATGAAGAGAGAGTGTTTTAATGCAATCAATGCGAAATATACAAAGTAACAGCTATTTAAACAGATCTGCAAAATTATAAAGCCTATGACAACAAAATGGGACGTCCTTACAACGTTGGGTAAAAAAAAAATAGAATTGCTGTTAGACAGTCAACAGCTCATTGTCAATTCTTTGAGTATTGCCACTGTCCTTCCAGCGAGCATTCATCCGCACTGTATCAAAACTCCTATCGTGCCAGAAATGTACCAAATTCACCCCTTGGTCCAGTTCCGCGTCGGTTTGCCAGTATGGGTGCTTAAAATAGTCGTCCTCACAGGTAAAATGAACAACCCAAGCTTCTTCTGCTGGGAGTAAACGTTTGTAAGTTAGCGTCTTGCTGATATGGTCCTTAATAGAAGTTTGGCTCCCTGTAGCCAAAAGCTCGATAACAACCGTAGGTTTTCCTGCTTTCTTGATGACAATGTCACTATATTTGTGGTCCTCACGCTCACGGAGGTGCCACTGGCCAATGATCTCATATTTTTTTGTTTTGTTTAGCCAGTTGGTGAGAACTCTCATCAATTCCGTGTCATAGACGCTTTCTCGAGGGACACTGGCGTTGTAGTCGCCCATAACCTTAACTGTTCTCCCCGAACTTTTGTATGATCGATCTTCCGCCTGCAAAATCAAGTCTTTATCGAAAAATCGAAGAGCAATCTTCATAATCTCTAGAATATCCAATGATCCTCCTTTTTTCTTTGGGGGTGACTCTGAAGGAGCGTGAGGATACTTTAATGGGATAATATATCTCCTCACAAACGAGTCAATGAATGCTGAGGCCATACAGTAGTTACTGCCATCAAGTCTTATCAGCACCCCTTCTGCAGTTAGGAAGTCTGCCAATCCCTGTTGTTCCATGTCTGTGATAGATATATCGCCGAGATACCCAATAAAATCTGTTCGGAGAAGATTAGCAGCATCTGTAGCTGATTCATTCAAAAGTGAATCGACCATCCTTCTGAAAGTATGGTACGAAAGCATCCTCTTATTCTGATTGTCTGTGGGGAAGTCCTGCCATGTATCGTAATCGAGACATTTCGTCGAGCCGTTGACTTTCGAGCGAAGATCCTCATGAATGGAGCGTCCACAAAGACAAATCATTCCTGGATGACTATTGACATTGAGCACAATTCATTGTATTAGAATGGCACATCAACTCGTGGAGAGTTAACTAAGCTTAAAAAACATACCCATTTGACTTCCAGTGTATGTCTCGAATAATCTCATCATCTATTTTAATCATCTCATCCTTCGCATAGTCATTAAAGAGCTGCTGCGTTTGATCAAGAGTGAAATACGGGTTCCTGATAGTATTGTTGACATTGAACGGGGCTATGTGTTGACCTGTTGTGCTAAGGCGCTGAATACTAAAGGTTCCACATAAGATAACACTGTGAATGGCGTATAAATGGTTGTTCTGTCGGATTGCTCGAAACGCCTGTAAGCATTGGTTGCGGATCTCGTCGCTTGCGTTAAACAGTAAATCAAACTCGTCAACCAAGATGACAATCTTCTCGTCCTTGAATTTAGTTCGACCGAAAGCATCGAGAAAATCTCGTTGGGTTGTAATATCATCGACTTCATAGTTGTTGCGAAGAGCTTTTCCAAAAGCTCTCCAGAAATGAGACCCATTATTGATAACTTCCTCAAATGAAACTCCAGATAGAAGGAATGAGTGTAAGAGTAGGTACAACATCAGAGACAAATTCAAAAGATGAGGGTAAACTTACATAAAACAACGGTATCCACTTTCAGCTAGTTGAGTTATAAGTCCATACAACCTTGTTGTCTTTCCAGACGCACGTGCACCAATGCATTGCTAACTCGTGATTTGTAATAGCACTCAAAATTCTCCTGTTCACGTCATGCTTCGCAGTGTCAACATAATAGACTGATTTTATATCAATGAATCGGATCGCTCCATTAACAGTCCATCTCTTCTTTTTCAAAACTGGCGATACTAGAAGAAAAAAAAAAAAAAAAAAAAAAAAAAAAAACAGCAAGACCTGTCAGAAGAGAAAAATAAAGAATCGGTTTCCAATCCTTAAGGGAGAATTAGCTTACATAAGTCACATAAGTCATCGGCCGTCCTTTTTTTCTCCAAGTCTGTTGGTAAAGGAAGCAATGATAGAAATTGGCAAGAAAAAAAGAAAAAGAAAAAGCATCAGAGGTAGCCGTGAAGCACATGTGCGATGATTAACCTTTTGAAAAAAGTAGAGAACCAATTAAACAAATGAGTCTTACTCGAAGTGGAAGTAGACTGATCTATACCGCAATAATGCGATGGATCATTGGACATAATCAATGATTACAACAAGCGTCACCACATGGCAAGTAATTAAATGCTTGCATGCCGCAGTAACAGGCACAATTAGAATTTAACGGCTTCTTACCTGCCGATGGCCGCTGGACAATGACGTGTATGGTTTTCTTTTCTGGTGCAGTGCCGAAAATCTCAGAGATCTCGCTTGTTGCACGAAGCTTTTTTGCATTTGGGTGTTCTGAAAGTGTAATGGTTTTTTCGTCCTCATCATCTCCGATTACGATGGAGACATGCCACAGGGTGAGTTCATCAGCGGCGACATCATCAAAGGGAGGAGTCTTCTCAGCCTTGATGTGCTTCTTGAGGCCATCAACTGTCTTGGTAGGGTCAATCTCGACCGAAAACGCGTTTGAGGTTGATTCTCCATCCACAAGACAGAATAGGGTAATTTGGTTAGTGGTTATGGTGTTGTGTAGCATTGATGAAGAGAAAGAGAAGGTTCTTAGGGTGTGAGTTGAAGTGGGAGCATAGGAAAGAGCGAAAAGAGTAGAATGCTGGCAAAAAAGAGGCAGAGGTGAGAATCAAAGCCACACGTGTGGCGTATCCTATATATGTCGCGTGATTTTGTGACGTTTGGTTGATCATCTTGCATTCGCATTTCTTCATCACAACCTCATCAATCAACACACACGCTCTCTCTCTCTCCCCCCTCAGAAAATCACTTCATCACCATATTCTTGATCACCATTCCTTCACTTTTAATCTTCGTTTGAGCATTTACCACCCGCCCACGATCATTTGTTTGAGCTATCGTCATCTGTGTACCTGTTAACACTAAGGTAATTTTTTCAAATTGCTTCCCCATGCAGAAACACTTTGTCATTGTGGCCCGCTCCTTGCGCTCCAGCAGATATACTTCGGGCTCTTGCCGAGTCAGGAAGTGGTTACGACAATTATGGTCATCAGACGGGGATCCTTTTGGGTGCCTTGCCAGCAATCTGTTTGACATGAAGCAAAGTTGAGATTCCTTAATGCATTATTGCTCTAGATTGGATAGTTAACATCTTTTTCTTCGAGAGTCAAATATAGTGCCTTCATTTTCATACCCTATGACGCTATCACCGGATTACCTGGATTGGGTTCAGAGATCCACCGGAGTTGAACATGTTTCGAGCTTTTATTAAACATTTCGACTTGACTGACAGAGAATCCGCGACTCAGGCGTACCATGATTTACTAGAGTGTGACGTATTCGCCAAAAAAGAAGAAACACCTTAAAAACATCATTCAACCACTTCCGTAAGAATTATGAGGAACGATTCTGGACAGTTCGCCATACTGAGTTAGCAAAGCGCGCTCTAGAAGCCCAAACTCAGCTGGTTGCTAATCGTGCAGGACTTAAAGTACACAAAGCTGGGGAGATGCAGTCTAATATTGCTTTCAACTCCTTCCTATCAAAAGAATCAGGTAAAAATCATTTGCGGATACTGCTATTATTATTATTGGTACCTGCGCTCCAAAATATTATTAGCTTTGTGTATCACTGACTTCTTTGCCTATTCTATTACAGGACAAGTAGAGTCTTCTACAACGGGACAGAGGCACCCACGCGATCCCTGGGACGGACTGGAAGATGGTTCATCAATATCTATAGCAGGTGAGTGAGTGGTTATTGCTGATTCTCACTATATATTTTTAATTTCTCTCTTATTTTTTTATTTTATTTTTTTTTTTTTTTGTTCTCAATCTAATATAGCCCGCTGGAAACACCTTTGCAGTAAGAGTGATAATGAGCATAATTCATTCCCAACAACGCCGCCTAAGGCTGGGATAATGTTTTCACCTTGGGCGACATTGAACCTGAAGGCTGTCTGGAGTTCTGTAGATTCATGTACAACTGCATGAGTGATGTTTTCACGTTTTATAAAGAATATGGGCAGGAAAGAGAAAAAGGACAGGAGTATGAGCTTAAGAGAGATTTGCCAGAACGAATTTATATGAAACTTTGGAATGCAATTTTAAAGGCGCTGTGGATTGGCAGTAGTGCGATAAAATTTGACGAAGGGGATGCGACATCATCAGCATCAACGTACCGAAGAAACGGCGTTCGATCAATTGAAGATAACCAATCTAGAGGGCATAAAATCGATGCAATCATATGGGCTTTGAAAGCGAATACGGAATTTGGCGCCGTAAAGGGAGGAAAAAAGTACGAGGCTTCTTATGGCACCAAATATTTAAACGACAGTGTAAAAACCGCTAAAACATTGAAAGACATGTTTGACATAGCGTGTGTCAATGCTGCCAGACATGGGCATGATATCAAATGCGACATGAAGGCCTATGGAATCGTAACGTCAGGCCTTCGAATTGAGATCGTCATCTTAAAATATTTGAAGGGCAGATTATTTTATTTCAAAAGAAATTTCGCTGATGAATTACCTCCAATATTGAACGAGACCACATTATGGACAATTAAGGGCATTCTGGTGGAAATATTGTTGATGAGACAGAGAATGGAAGACAAGGCAAAAGAGTTGGAAGTTTGGGTATATGGAAAGAGATCCATAGATCAAGCACTTGAAAGTATTGGGCTGCCAGAGACTTTGAAAACCCCTCCAGGATCTCCAAAGGGACAAGCGAAAAGAAAAAAGACTATTTCAACTTAATCAAGACTTATCGAGACTTTCTATTTAACTGGTTTCAAGCATAGGATAACGCAATTGGATTAAGATAAACCCATTGTACAAAACAATCAAACACCTCCACTCCAAGTCGGAAGGAACAGCACTGCGTTTAGGGTACAATTATACAATTATGAGGATTATTTAATGGAAGTCAATGGTGTTCAAGATGATGCATAAATGATGAATATAAAATAAGAAAAGTTAGCACACATACACATTGTAATAAAGGAAGATGTTGTTCTTTCGAACAAATCTGTGCAACAAAAGTGCTTAACCTCAGCTAATCGTAGCAACAAGGCTACTCTACAGCTTACAGTACACCATTGCTTAAAAGTCGTCTGCAATGGATTTATCTCTTCCAATATTTGAAATTAACATTAGCAGGAACCTCATGAAGCCTTTCCGCTCCACAAGATTACCCCGCGTAGCATGATTCAGGAGCCGAAGCTTTATTCGTATTCAACTAAGTACCGGATGAGGCGGTAATCGTCGCGTTCTAGCACGGATTCTGACTTAGAGGCGTTCAGCCATAATCCAACGGATGATAGCTTCGGGCCATTGCCTGTTCAGGCAGGCCCAAATACCAATTATTCATCAAATTGGCAAAATGACATAAAAATAAAGTAAAATCAAATAAAAGCCTGGATCCACGCATTGTAAGCATTTATCTTCTTGACCTGAATTTTTATTTTAATAGATGCATCTTCTCTCGCTTGTGGATAGAAGAGAAAAATCATCCGCATTGGTGCTTCAATTAAGATAAGATGGTAATAGGTACATAGATATACTTTAAAAAAAAAAAAAAAAAAAAAAAAAAGAACTAGCTAACGAGTATTGATTTGATTGCTCTGTAGATCTCGCCGCAACTGTCGCAGTTCTCGCTCAAGCCGTCTTCTTTCTTCGACTTCCTTGCGCACTGCTTTTTCTTTCTCTTCACGCAGCTCGCTCATAGCCCTCCTGAACTCCTTTCGCAAAGCGGCAGTTGCTCCGGTAACAGTGCTATTGTTAGCTCTTGCAGTACCATTACCGTTGCTATTATTATCATCTAGACTGTGCACATTTGGGCTATTGCTAAATATATCTGTACTGGGGATAGGTGGCGAGTTCACTCCAGAAGCGGGTGTATCAAAGATGAGCTTCTGTGAAAGAGAACAAAAGTTCGTGGATCCGAGCCATGAAGGGGTCATTGCAGGAGACTGAGGTTGCGATGAGATTTCCAGGCTCTTCAAAAGCTGTGACCCTGTCCTAGGTTTTCCATTCGTGCTTTCTAAGGCTGCTACAATCATTCGCATCTCTCCTAACTCTCCTTCCAACTTGGCACACTTGTCTCTCAAGCCTTCTAGAGCATCAATATCAAATGCACTTAGTTTAGGTGAATCGGTCTTTAAAGCACCACCGCTGATGTTAGTATTAGCGTCAGCGCGAAGCGACCCTCCAGTATCTACTTTTTCCTGAAAATACCCTTGGACCTTGGCCAGTTCTAATTGAGCCTGTTCTAAAGCCTTTTCATGATCCTGAATAGTTTGTTCACGCTCATGTAGTAGTCTGTCCTTGACACGAATGATCTCCTGCAACTGGTCTAAAGTATCATCCTGACTTGGTTTACGAGCAATACCGGCAAATATATTGGATCTGTTTGGTGCAGGGGTATTAGTTGCGCTTGCGGCGGCCAGTTCAGCAAGCCGAGCATTCTCATCCATAAGGGTATCCGTATGTTGCTTCAATAAATCGATCTCCTTCTCCAATAATTGAACCATCCCTGCGCTTGCTTGCAGTCGCTCTAACTCGGATATCAAGATCCGGATTGATTGTCCTTGAGAGTCAGGACCCTCTTGGTCATTACGCTCTTCGGATTCGTGGCTTTGATGAGTATTCTTCTTCTCTGTCTCCTTTTCCTTTTCTTTCTCCTCCTTCTTGGCTTCTTGTTGACTACGCTCAGCGGGATTGCCAATCTGCCGCCGTAATTCCGAGTTGTCACGCTCCATCTGCTCAGATATTACCACCAAGTCCTTTACTCGACTGATGAGTGCCTCCATGCTAAACCCGATAGCCCCTGAAGCTGAGAGTGAAAGCGAGACTGAACTACCTGAAGGACTCGGCATTGCAGATCGACCTCCTAGGCTCGCTGCTAACTGTTGTTGGAGCTGTTGATGAGACGAAAATAACTGCATATGACTCCTTCGCCTTGAGTCTGGGACTAGATCAAAGAGTTGCCGCATAGCCTTCAGACTCGTCTGCTGCTGTTGATTAAGGGTGTCTATTTCACTAATTGCATCTCGAAGCTGCACTCTAAGGGCTTTGATCATTTCGTCTCTTGAAAGCATATCATTGCTGAGGTCCGCTGTCGAGATAGTGTACATGGATGTGGTTGTGGTCATGGCTGTGGTCGTTCTGTCATCCTCAGCTGCACCAAGGCTCTCCTCCAATGCACTAATTCGGTGATTCTGGTCCTCTTGCCATCGCTGGCGCTCATTCTCCAACTCCTGTTGAGCCATCTCTTTTGCTAGAAGCGCATCCTTCAGACTTTTCTCCAAAGCTGACCGAATAGTCTCCTCAGCCTGACCACGTGAAACTGAAACAGGAGTAGCGGGTAGATCCTTAATTCTGATGCTGTTATTCCTACTAACGCTCATGACCGCAGATTGGCGCCGCAAAAGACTCAACTCTCCTTCCATTGTACTCATCTTTTGTTTGGATTCTAAGGCATGGCGCTCCAGTGCGTCTAGAACAGATCGGATTTGTTCCTTTGAGAAATGAGGTGGTTCTAAGGTTGGAGATGTCGAGCCTTTTGGCTCCCCAAAGATTACCTCTGAGGCCTCTGTACTACTGTTGCTACTAGTATTGATAGCAGTTGATGCATCTGAAGCTAGAGAATCTCCGCGTGTAAGGGGCGAGGGACTATCAGATCCTTGACTGTTAGCTGAATAATTATTAGAAATAAGTGCTGTAGCTCCTTTTTCTTTTTTGTCTTCTCCTTCTTCTTCTTCTTGACCCGATGATCCCCTCTTGCGTCGTCTGTGTGTGGGTTGGTGTTGATAACACTGAAGGATCCTCTGAAGTTGTTCCTGTACAGAACCTAAAAAATTGTTCATCTCTGTAACTTCCTCTTTTTGCTCGTTATCACAGAAGGCATCTAGGTTCCTTTGTTGCGTTCGAGAAAGAGCTAATGTCTTTTGCTGTTGTTCATCTACTTTAATAAATAGCTCACGCTGATGGTCAAGTTGGTTCATGAGCCGCTCGATTGCATGGTCCTTGTCCTCAAGGAGCGACTGGGCTTGGAGCGCATCTGATTCTAAATCCATAATTAATTTCGCCATCGATTCACTAGTAGTGCATTAGTAAAAGCAAAACAAAATAAAATATAATAAAAAGTCAGTTCAATCAGCCGAAAACCATATTCTTTCATAACAACTCCACCTATGGCTAGGATGGACGTACAACTGCTGCTCAAGGTCTTGTCTTATTTGTGTTCCTTGAAGCTGAATGACATGTGCCTCCCTTTCCCGACGACCTTGATCCTCTAATCGGACGACACCCAAGGCCAAAACCCCTGATGAATGTTGAAGAAGAGTCCGCTGTAGATCCGACGCTAGCTGAGTCAGCTTCCAAAGCTCCGTTGAGACTTGATCCACTTTACGGTTTGCGGCCTCAAGATGGTCACTGGCCTGTCGAGCCAGTTTTTTGTTATCCGCGTGGAGTTTCAACAATGACCGAGCAGCTTCACAAATCTTGGATTCTAAAGAAAGTCGAGCAGTGAGGGCTGAGATTCGAGTGTTGAGTGTAGCATGATGCTAGTAATAATCATAGTTATTTTTGTTGTTATTGTTGTTGTTATTTTTTTATGCAAATGTACGCGAGCCAAGGCGTTGAAAAAAAACAATAGACGATGAGTTAAAACATCCATATAACCTATAGGCATAATATTATATTTATAAATCCTTCTTACTCGTTTGATAGCCTCCACAGTTTCAGGAAGAAGGACCTCAAATCCTTTCGAATCCACAGCAGCTTGGGAGATGAGGATTTGCATAGCAATATCAGCTTCCGATTCAGGATCACCTGGACAGGCCAGGTACTGTTGCATAAGCGTCATAGCTGTTCTATCGACATGATGAATGCGCTTAGGATTTGACGGATTAGGGCTAACCGGCCTTGGGGAGCTGCATTTGGATGAACATACAGTTGCTGATGATTTGAGTTCCATATGCTGTTGTCGTTGTGGCTGTTGCTGCTGCTGTTGGTGATGATGATGACGATGGTGGTGGTGATGTGCCTGGGTTTGTTGCTTTTGTAAGTGAGCATGTGAAGGTGAGTGTGAAGGCGAAGGTAAAGGTGAATTTGAGCGCGGTGTCTGGTTGTTCTGATAGTTATTATCTGGGTATAGGTGTAAGTGTGGATGAGGAGACATATGATTATGTGGTTGTTGCCTATCTGTGTACTCCGAGCTTGGAGAAGCAGCGAGGTGATTTGATGATTGGCGTGGCGTACGATACGCCGAAGAGGAAGGCGAAAGCTGTCTAGTAGGGCTCGATGTATTGCTTTTTGGTTTGCTACGAGCAGTATGTCTTATAGACTCGTCTGGTTCTAAAAACCGGCCCCTACTACTAACACTTGCAGCATCAGCCGTGCTAGGTCCTCTTTTAATAGAATGCATGTGCTGCGTTTTTATCGATAACGAAGATGCGCTCGAGGAATGTCGCCTGCTGCTACGATGAAGCGTCGACGTGGCTGAATTGGCGGATGTCGGGTTGGTAGCCTCAACTCTGTTAAGAAGCGCAAAGGTTGGGTTCAACGCCCCAGCCTCTGCAGTGCTAGCGATACTGGAGCTGGTATGCTGACGGCTCCGTTGACGTGGATTAGTGCCAGCGGGAGGCAGCGGCGGAGGAAGATAGGGCTGAAGCTCAGTAGGGTCGGATGAGCAGTTGAAAGAGTGGTGTTGACGAGGCAAAAGTGAAGGCGCTACAAAAGATGCCCGACGACGACCAGAAGATGAGGTAGAGAATGAGAAAGAGCGATTATATCCCATGCTAGAAGAATTGGAGGAGGGTGTTATCGTGTCATGCTTAGACAGTCTTTGATCGCACTGTTGCTGAGCTCCAGTAGTAGATGCTGATGATGTGGCTGTTATCGTTGTTGGTGTTGTTATTGTCGCATGAGTGTTCGAAGCCTGGAGTGTGGGCGCTTCATTATGCAAGAGATTGTTGAGATGATGTTGCAACATAGAGCGCTCGCTGGGCAACCTCCTGCCTCTTTGGATTTGGGAGTCAGCCCATCCTTCCTGTTGCTGCTGCTGCGCCTTTAATGATCTTTCCCTCTCTTCATTAACTTTAACAAGATCTTGGTTCTGTCTTCGTTCATTCCTGAACCCATGTACGTGTCCTAATTTTTGCTCTTGCTCATGCTCGTGGTGATGTACGCGCTGCTCCTGTACCTTGGCTTGCGTTGATGTACGGGCATTACCTTGAATATCCAATGGTGGATGTAAAGTGGAGGGCGATTGAGAGAATCCATTACTGCTGTCATCGTTACTCATGCTTGAATGATAGCGTAATGAATATATATCCACTGCTAGTGCATTGTGCTTTTTGCTATCGACATCGTGATCACGGTGCTGGTCCTGACTAAGATTCTGAGGCATCAATTGTGGAGAATTCGGATGTGGAGTATAGCGATTTGGATGCAAATGATTGGTATTGATGATGTAAGACGAAGGTTGCGAGCTCTGTGCCATGTTTTCATCTATTGGCACTTTAACCCCATCCATACCTTGAGGCATGTTTGCTGAAGTTTTTACCGATGCTGGGAATGACGGCAGAGTAGGAAGCGGTTTCCGATAAGTTGCCTGGGAGCATTGCTGAACCTGAAAATGCAAATTCGACGGTGGTCGGGATTTTGTTTGCTGTAAGTCCTCGCCAGGGATTTGAGTTGATCGCGAAAGCACAGGTGCTGATTCGCGTCGCCCGGCTGGATACACTTTCCCCTTTTTGAAAGTGATATTGGTATTATACGGCAGCATTGATGATGACAATGGTTCGGGGCTTTTGTAAAGGTCAATAGATGTTGGTCTCGGAGGAATTGTAGGTGGTATTGATGCAGGACTGGATATGTTTGGTGAAATAGTGGCCGTAAGATCGGGACCAGAACAAGATCCAGGATTCAGATCGGATAGATTATGAGGAGTGTGCGGCCCCTGTTCTGTCTATATATTTTTAAGGAATTGTTGGGCGGTAGAAGGAATGAGGTTTGTAGATATGTATTAGTCAAGTTAAAGTCGAAAGATGGTAGTTGAATATAGAGGTCATCAAAGGTATATCCGTCTGTCAGTCGAAAAAGGATAAGATATGGTGAAGGAGAGGTGGGTGAAAACAATGAAAAACAATGCTGGTTGACAACGTTGATGATAATGCAATGATAATAACGATGATGATGATGATACTGATCTACTGATCACGACTTATCAACCATCCTCCACTTTTTCACACTGTTGTATGAATGTTCTTTTTGTAGGCATCTTTTGACCACCTTTTTTGCCTCTTCACTTTTTCTTTCTCTTCTCAATCCCCCTCTAGTTGTGGACACAGGTTATTATCCCACCATCAATTGAATTGGAATACACATTAAGGACTGAGAAATTAAGGAACGCATCACTATCTACACCGACTTTACCGCCATTGTTAGGAAGAAGGAGGAATAGGCTCTGGTGTCGGCTCAAACAGGGATGAAAATCCAAAGCGTTGGTTATTAGGCACTACCCGGGTGACTAATATACTGAAGCAGCCTAGAGAGCAGATCTTTGGCAATGGATGCAAGGATGAAGGAATAAACAATTACCACAATGAAGGGAATGTAATGAATGACAGAAACAGGTTGATTTTTTTCGACACTAATCTTCATTCGCAACCGGAATGAATGCACAAAAAAAAAAGGGGGTGGGGAGGTTACTTGTCAGCGGATCTCCTGACAGCCCAACGACAGCCAACAAGGTCAAACGAGTCATTTGTCGCTCTGGAGCTGCATAGAGAATGCCCATCCATCTATCCATCCCATCCTTGTTGAACTAACATATTTATATTCCAATATGGATTATTCTACGCGACGCGTTTCCCATTTGGTACCCTGGCCTAGACGTGACTGCGTTCTATCGCAATCAAGCCTGAATGGATCCTATTCAATAAAAATAAAGAACAAGAGAGTGCACACCACTCTATCTATTTTTGCCTGTGTAATCGAAGATTCTACATGTACTTCAAGATCTTTCGGTTTTCTCGAGAACCCGCAGGCTCGGCTGTATTGTTCATAGGCTCTTTGTGGGACGTATTGGATGAGTTGTAGGCAATGTATTTAGTATATTTAGATGGAATATCCAGACTGACGTTCATTTGAGAAGCCAAACTTTTTTGATCACTGATGTTCAGGACTTAATTTACTAGAAGGGTCCCTGATTAATCCGGTCGGGATAATTTTTAATAATTCATTAGCATTGTAGGGCATAATTTATTTCATCAATAGGATTCTTTTTTCTAGTGTTGATTGATCCGTCGGTTTGATAGTTCATAGTGTCAATAGATCATTTATTGATGTGTACATTTTTATTCAACGTGTTAAATGTTTGATATCTCTATACTTTTCTCCGACTATGAACCGGTGTCAATGATTGAAAAGCTTTTTTTTTTTTTTCTTTGTCCCATTGAGGAATAGAGGCGGAATGAAGAGGCAAATTGCAAAGGAATGGAAAGAGAAAAGGGAAGAAAGAAAAAAAAAACATTCGGTCTGTTGTTAAATGGTCAGACGACTCTTGAAGGTGTGTTACCTCACATGAACCTGCATAGCAAAGCACTGATCAACTCGTTTACTTTTAATTATTCGGAGGATGACTTCCCAACATGTGTAAATTGATGATCTGTTGTGACACATAGATGCGTTCTGGGAGTTTTTTCAAGAAAATAAAAACAGACATGTATTCTTCTCTCAAAGCAAAAAAAAAAAAAAAAAAAAAAAAAACGTGGGCGGGGGCACTGGCCATCTTTCATGTGCAGGGAACGGTTTGTTTTGTTTGCTTTGTTTGTTTTGTTTGTTTGTTTTGTTTGTTTTTGTGTGTGCATGGGAGTTTGATTAGAATCATTTGTGTCGAGAAAATCCTGTTCAAGTGGCACGAGATATTTCGGTCAATGGATTTTATTTTTTCAGATCAAAGTTGCTTGGCGATTTGTTATCATCAACAATATGCTCATGAATTTTTTTTATTTGTTTGAATAAATCACGGCATCGTACGGATACGAACAAAGGAAGAGAAAGGGTTCTGGGATATAGTGAATGTTACGAGGTAAACATCAACGTCTGGATCTTAGAAAACATTTGACCTTGACAATAATAATGCATAAAAAAATAAAATAAAAATAAAAATAAAGGTCAAGCACACCACATGTTTTAAGCTCATAACGCAAGTTAGTTCAAGGGTTTCTAATAGAACAATTCGATGTCGTACATGTTGCATTCGATAGCACTCGTTACCTAAATATCTTTGTATCTCGATCTTCCTTACTAAAAGGTATAAGGAAAAAAGAAACCACGAGCTGAGGGCCAGTAATGCAAAAAGTTTTTGGAAAGAAATAAATATTTGAGCACACCGAAAGAGAGAAGCATTCATTTTATTTCGCGTTGGCACGTTGTAGAAATTATCTGTAATGATTGGTCCTAGTAGCCAAACAGTCAACAGTCTGGAATAAAAAAACCTTGGACAAAAAATAATAATAATAATGTGTTCCATCAGGAACAACCCTCTTTATTCGTTTCCTCCCCCTTTTTTTTTCATCCGATGACACTTGGGGCTGACCATTATGATGGAAATGGTAGAAATGGTGGAAAATGGATATGAGAGAAGAAGCTACGCTTTGTTTTTGATCTGTCAATGACATGTACTAAGAATGATGCTGTAATAATCTCAAATAGTCTTGTACTTTAAAAGAAATTTGCCGAAACAAAAAGACAAATCGCTCTCCAGCACCAAGGAGATCAGCATTACTATGTGCGCCATAGAGACAAAGCATTTTTTTATTTTATTTTTTGCCCTTTAAGCTAATGAGCGAGTAGCACTAACCTGCCTGGCTTACATGCAAAATTGCATTCGACCGTGCTGTAACTGTGGTTGTACAACTCTCCTCACTTTTTTATTATATATACTATCCTGTTGATAAAACATCATCAGCGATAGAGTAGAGTGGTAGATAGATCTGAACAAGCACGATATCAACTTTGTGCAATATTCATCAATGGATGCGATCTCAGATTTGGTTTGAAGTATGTGGAAATGCAAATGACCCCTTCATCCTGTGGTCTGCTATACATTCTTTTTGCGGATACCAAAGTTGAATATAGACAGGCTTTTATGACCGAGAGGGATTGAGAAATGGACGCGGTGAGCCCTATGCTATGCTTAAACGTGTGTTACAATCCGCTCCCAAGGCGTTTGCTATTTTACGCATGGAGTCATAATGTCTTTACGGGGTCATTTGTGAGCAAAGTAAATGTACAAGTAGCTAATTCGACATGCATTTTGACAAGCGCTGGCATTCCAAAAATTATCAAATCGTTCAAACTTTGAACATGAGCTTCAGCATGTAGCATGAAAAAAAAAAAAAAAAAAAAAAAAAAAGATATTGGTGGTTAGGATCAAGGCATATTGCTTCTTTTGTAGTAGACAGGCTAGTTGGGTCTAGAAGAGCAGCTTAAGCAGAGCAGCTTATTATAGCCTGACAAGGGTTTTTTTAATTTGTAGGATAGAAGGAAGGAGGGGAGAAAGAAAAGACCCATCGCTAACAGACTGAGGATGATGAAGTGCATCGCCTCCTCTGGTGTACAAGCAATTGCTTCTGTTGTTGAACATCTTAGTTTGCTTTGTTGGTCAATGTTCGCTTTAGGATTCGAGGCTTGTGGCACCTAATGCGCTGTCACCCGCCAAAGTTTGTTTTAAAATATTATTATATTGTTTGCTGCGACTCCGCATTGAAAGAATGAATGAATGCTCACGCACTCTCTTTTCCTCTTTCTTTCTTTCTTTTTCTTTCTTTCTTTCCTTCATTCTCACTCTCTTTCACCCTTTTCTTGCATTCTTTTTTTTTATTTTTTATTTTTTATTTTATTTTATAATACATATTTTAGAACCACATTTACAATTAGTCAATTGCTACTCTTCTTCTTTTTCTTCCTTCCTTCCTTCCTTTATTCTTCTCTCTATACTGCGTTTGTGTATTACTGAACTCATCCACACTCGGTCCTTGTTTCTCGTCTTTTTTTCTTCTTCTTTTCCTTCTCACTAAAACCGCTCCCCGAGTATTTGGATTTGTTTCTCTCTGTGTACATTTAATCCTACCACTCTCTGTCTTCACTCAGCCTCTGTGATCAGCCCATTGCTATTCCCTGAGGTGAGTGACCCTCTATAATACAAAGACCCTTTGACACTTCGTCCTTTCTCTGATTTTATTACCCCCATTCAATTGCATCATCTGATTCTTGTCCGGCTTTACTCTTTCCAGCCTTGTTGTGTGCCCTTCATCTTTCACTCTATCCTCCATCCCTCGCTCAATCTTCAACCTCATATTTTCTTTTCTCAAACAATGAACCCGTCAACGCTTTCTCCTATCAGCCTTCGATCCCCGCAACAACCCAAACCACATTCAATTAGCAGTGCATACAGTTCCGATGAGCTCCCCAATATTGTACCACAGCGCCCACCTCGGTCAGATCGACAAAGGGCCGACTCAACCTCTTCTCCAACTATCTCTGGTGCTCAATATTATCAATATTATTATTCGCAAAGACAGCAGCAACAATATGAACAATACATGTCTTCCTCACCTCCATCCTCAAGACCCTCACCTCGATCGACACCAAACTCGTACGCCATGTCATATCCTTCGCAACCATCCTCACCTATGAGCTTTCAGTTACCGCCTTCAGCACTTTCACCTGCTAAAGATGATATGCCTCGGTCGGGTTCCATCTCACATCAGCCCAGCAGGGCAAACTCTACACTAGGTATTCAGATTCCTCAGCTACAAGCCTCTTCCTCTTTAGTCTCGCCATCATATAGGACACCACGCATGTCGCCTGGACTAAGCAGTGCTAGCGGTAGTGCTAGTGATAGTGTTGTAGGTGGAAGTAGTACTTCATCAGGAGGAGCAGGAGTAGGGGCAGGGGTAGGAGAGCTATCCGTGTCTACTCTTTCCACTATGCCACCACTCGCCCTTCCAGGATCATTTCTGGAAGAGCAATCTGATTACGCAGAGTACTATTCAGATGTAGGAATCATCTCCCAACAACAGGAAGATCTCCAGCAAAGGCAATTTCGACAACATTATCAGAACGCGTTGCTATCGATACCCATTAGTCCTCATCAAACAATACATCGTCAGCAACCAACTGTAGCAGAATACTCGCCGCAACACCTGAATGTCTCCATGTTCTTGCCATCACCCATGATGAGTCCAACAACGCCTCCATTCACAGGTGATTTCTCAGCTTTAAGTCTTGGTAAGTTTTTTTTTTTTTTTTCTTGGCGATCATGCCATGCAGCTATACAGATAATACAAAGAGATGAAACAAAAAAAAAAAAAAAAAAAAAAAAAAAGAGAACGGGATGTGGCAATATGCATTAACGTGCCCATGCATACATGTTTGTGAATGGAGGAACCTTCGTATCGATAAAAATGCAAAGTAAACATACCAGCTGCATGCATGCTTACCGCTGTCCTCCCTCCTTGTGGTTGTTTTTTTTTTATGGCATAATTGTGTTTGAAAAGGGTGGATTTGGAATAAACATTAACGGAGAATGCATGGTGAGCCAGGGTTGGTTACGCCAGCAACGTTAAATGGAGTCTTTGTTTCGTATTCCAGACGGTTAGGACGTGTGTGATAGGGTTGATGTAAACAAAATAAAACAGAGAACACAAGCGAGTCTATTGCTTAGATTCAGGAACGTGGCATTTTTGACTTCACTTTGTACGCGTGAGACGCCCACTCTATGGTCCATTGGGCATAGAACTACACATTCTTCTTTTTTTTCCTTCCTTGAATGGCTTATTCATGCATGTTGGGGCGTGTGATAATATATTTGTTTACATATCGAGAAAGCTGCACGGGAGAAGCAGGCCTATGTGGACGGCTGTATGGCGCGTTTAGTCAATTGTCGATGGCCACAATGACATTGTTTTCATTTTTTTTTTTTTTTTTTTTTTTTCTTCGCCTATTCTTCTCTAGATGATTCGGCATCCAACAGGCTTTCAGTTGCACCTCATCCCCTGACAGAGGACACACAGGCCTATCCGGAGGGCTATTACCAAGGACGCCCCCATATACCCATAGAATCCTTCCTGATGCCTACACAGGAACAATATCCTCCTGATTCCATGATCCTCTTTGGTGGCACAGCTTCACATTCAGAGAGCTCTTTGTTCCGTAAGGATTCAAAGGAATACCTCCTTTTAACCAACTCCAGTTTACTCAAGTATAAGAGCATGGAAAAGGCCTCCAAGGTCTTTGGCAACCAATCCATTTGGTCATCTACTTCGGGCCATCAGCTTCTGACACCACAGCAGACTGGGCAGATCTCCAAAGATCATCGAATTCTGTCGTTGAATTCTATTGTAGGCGTTCATACACATCAGGCAGGAAGCTCGGAAGTCCAGATTCAGATCGAGTATCTCATCTCGATTTCTTCACAACCTACGTCCATGCATTTCACGCCAGCCGCAGATCAAGTGGATGCCTGGCTCAGGGAACTAAAGCAAGGCTGTAATTACCATGCTGCTCAGGCTGGAATCATCCCAAAGGGCACTCGTCAACGCCAGTGGGTCGTAGACAAACTTCGGGATGATCACATTGCTTTACCGCCGAGTGTCCCTGAGAACGATTCTACAGCTCTGACTGCTGGGGGTATGTGGCGAGCTTACTTTAAAAGTCAAAAGATCAAAGGCATCCCTTCACAGGAGAGCACAGGGAGCGAAGCCAAGGTGCCATTGGAGGGCAAGGTCATGGTGATCGCGATTGGAAAGTCTTTTGTTCACTTGCTGCCCCACAATCTCGGCAATGGAAGCACGAAGGATGATATGAAGGATGAGCGTGCAATTCTTCAATATCCGATCCTGACTATCAAGGAAATCAGTTACAGTGAGTACGACGATACTTTCTCATTAACTTTTGGAACAACGCTTCGTCAGCGGCGAGTTGTTATGACGCTCGTCTCTTCAAGGGCTCGTGAAATCATCATCGCTCTCCGTGCTCGTGTTGAAAGTCTTCGTTGGCTCTATCCTACCGGTCGAAAAGGAGTTGAGCTTTCCTTGTCTGAGGCATTGTCAAGACCGATTCCTGTTCCGCCTAAAGATTACATGATCGACCTCGGGTTTGAAGATCTATTACGTGCAGAGTGCTACGCCCTGAATGTCGATCGCAAGGTCTACAACAATGTCAAGATCAACGGCTTCACCATTACAGTCGGTAAGGTTGGAGAGGGATCAGAGTCACGACGGGATTACTCAGTGGATGAGATGAAGTGTCTTCTTCGAGCTTTACGATTTAACACGACGTTCAAGGAGATCATCTTGCGCAACGTCTCTTTTGCGCTCTTGCAAAAGTCTAAGGCTTTAAGAGACGGGACAACTCGATATGGTCTCCGTTTGGACAGGGAGTTTTATGAATTAGTCATGGGTAACCCTCAGTTACGGGTCCTTGATCTCCACAACTGTAATCTGGATACGAACACAATCGGTAGTATCGGTCGGGCCATCCGAGATGGCCATTCTGCAGGGCTTCGACTCGAATCCTTGAATTTAGCTGGAAACAGCGCTTCAGATGGTGCAGATGTCATGACCTTGGCTAAAGGGATTGTCAAACATGCAGGGACGCTCCAAGTCCTAGATGTGAGCAACTGTCAGATCACGGGCGATGGCATCAATCAGATCATGCATGCCTTTGTTGCCAATCCAGATGTCGCTTCTCATACCCTAGAGACATTTTGTATCCAGGGAAATCCAGAAAGCAAGGTCAACTCATTCATTCTTGACATGTTTTTGAAACACTCGATGCGCCTTCAACGATTAAACCTTTCGAGTCTGCCATCCTGGAGTAAATCGCCCATCCTAATGGCTGAGACTCTTGCCAACTGTGGAGGCTTCCTGACATCCTTGGACATCAGTGGTATGGCCCTGCACCCATCTACACTTGATCAGATCATATCCTGGATTTCAAGTTCTGGATTCCATTCTATGGAACAATTCAAGGTCGAAGGCTGTGGATTGGATGGAAACCAGTTTGCAAGCATTCTTGAGGCCATTGGACAGAGCCGTAATACCAAAGTCGAGATATATGCTGGCAGAAACTTACTCTCGGACGGCACGGACCTCCCAGATAGTCTGGTGAGTGTCCTTGCCAGCGGTGATACTGCTACCTCTTTAGGACTACGTCAGACCTGCTGGAGTGAATCTGCTCTCCGTCAATTGTTTGTCAGTCTCAGTCAAAATTGGACGCTCAAGAAGTTGGATCTGAGCTCAGTCTCTTTGGCTTCGAACCGTGATCCTGATGTGGAGACTTGCAAACTTTTGGGTCAGATGGTATCAGCGAGCTCGAGTCGATTGGGGGAACTGTACCTTCAAGGAGAAGAAACCGCGGACCTGACTTCAAGAATGGGAAGAAACATTTGGAGAGCGTTCCCAGGGATTGGACAGAGTCGGTATTTGACCAAACTAGATGTTCGTAGGAACCGCTTTAGGGATGCGGGGGCGTATGCACTCGCAGAGACTCTACGAGTGAACCAAAGCCTTACCTGGTTGAGCATGGATGAGAACGATGTAAGTATATGTATAATATTAAAAAATAATAATAATAATAATAATAATAATAATAATAATAATAATAATAATAATGAATCAAAGACTGAGAATAACGTTTTTTTTTTTTTTTTTTTTTTTCTTTTCTTTTCTTTTCTTTTCTTTTCTTTTCTTTTCTTTTCATGAATAGGTTACCCTGGATGGCTTCAATGCTATTCTTTCTGCTTTCCATCAAGGCGGAACAGAGCATGTGCCAACAAGCAGCATGTACTACAACAGCACCCTCTGCTGTTTTGAGCCACCTGTCAAGGATATTGAAAAACAGACATTGGTTCTGAAGGAAGCTATGCTCGAGACCTACAAGACTGAGCAAGAAACTCGGTTCTTATTGAGCAACTCCACCGGCAAGGACTCACGCGAATGGAAGGAAAGACTTGCGCAAATCATTCGCACGCGCAATCTGAGTTCTGAGATCATTGCTCGACTTGATCGAACCATCAGGGGCATAACTGCGGCCACAGAGCGAAATAAGACCGCACAAGAGGCTGTGCTTAGGGATCGTGAGAGAAGACGCGATCGAGAACTGGATCGTGAACGTGAACGTGATCGTGAAAGTCTGGACATTAGATGAAAAAATACATTAACTCCTTACTACAACTTCTTCACAACCTACATTAGCTTTTTTTTTTTTTTTTTTTTTTTTTTCACTACCATTCCATTACAACTCACGCATTTTGTGTATATTATCAAACCTTCTAACTTGCATTTCATCACAAAGTAACAATTAATAATAAAATAATGGCACATACAATGGTAGCAACGATAAAAAAATACATCAACACAACACAAACATATCAACGAGCTCGTTTTTGGCTTTTTGTTTCTATGACAAGATCTGAACTTTTGGCTGTGCCACGTAGATGAAGTTTTTTTTTTTTTTTTTTAGAGATGATTGGCGCAGCATTCCGCAGTATATTTTCTAAACATCTTGACATTTACACTTTTTTTTATTTTTATTTTTTACTTTGTCTTATTGATTGAAAAACAAGGCGCTTATTGATTGACAAACTGGCTATAGAATTGTACTGTACATTCGAAGAAAAGAAACAGAGAGAGGAAATGGGCACTGCTTTGAGTCTTCTCAAAGAGACATATAAGAAAGAGAAAAAGATTCCTTTTTTTTTTTTTAGCGATCCTCTGCCCACTCGTTCTCCTTCTTGATTTGAGCTTCCTCCTCAGGAGTGAAATCGTTGACGATGTTGAAGAGTTTACGAATCTCCTCGGGGGTCTTGCCCTTGATCAAATTGGCAACAGTCTTGCATCCAACATCGAGTAAGGGCTTGATATCCAGATAGTTGGCAGCAAGGATGATTTCAAACAACATCTCCTGGTCCACCTGCATAAACTTCATATCCCACTCCTCAATATCATTCGAGCGCTTGCGGGGGTCATCTGACTCATCCTGGACCTGAATGGGGTCATTACGGTGATGCTCACAGTATTCGATGACCTATGAATGGAGAGGGGGCAAGGGGGTAGGGAAGGGTTTAAAGAAAGATACAGCAAAGTGTAACAGATTGTTTTAGCTTATTTTTTTGTCGTGAGCGGATGTGATTCATATTGTGCACCAGTATCATCGATAGTGCAAGATCGGCCTCCTTTATGTCTTTGTGTTATTGAGACATACCTTCTTGAGTACAGCACTGGATACGTTGGGAAGAGGAATAGGAGCTTCAGATTCACCAAGGTCTATGATACACATAAAAAGAAGGAGAAACGTGTGTGAGAAAGCGTGGTCGACTTCACAAAGGGAAAGAATAGGAGAAGAAAGAAGAAAAAAAAAAAAAAAAAAAAAGAGAGAGAGAGAGAGAGAGAATGACTACATCATGTTCTCAATTGCAGTAGTTTTAACATTAGTAATTTCTATGTATTGTCATTACCCTCAATCATATTCTTAATTAGAATAGAACGCTCAGCAACCTCCTTGTCGACCTTGAAGGTCTCGTTGTCAAGGGATGTAAGAACTACTGGCATTATAAATGTGTGAGTGCGTTAGTGTTTGGTACGAATGTGGCTATTGTGTCGTGTATGGGTGTGGTGTGCAAGAAAACAGAGGAGTGGAGAAGAAAAGAAAGAAAGAAAAAAGGAGAGAAAAGGATTGTGCCTATTTATTGATGGGGCAGTCTCACTAGCCTCCCTCCTTTTTCTTTCCTCCTCTCTCTTGTACAGTCTTCCACATTGTCCACACACAACACACACAATTAAGATTGGTGGCGAATAACACGGGTGTTCCGAGCATGGATTGCAAAATGCATTCTTCACAGTGGTGGCAAAATACGGACCATACTTCTCCTTTTCTCTCTTTCTCCTTCCCTTTCCCTTCCTTTCCTTTCCCTCTCTCTTTCTCTTTCTCTTCTCTTTCTCTTTCTCTTCTCTTTTTCTTTTTTTTTTTTTTTTTATCATTCTGTTTGTTGTGGTGGCGCAACTTTGATTTGGAGACAGCCCTCTGTCATTTCGTCATCCACCTCACTCGTCAAGAAACTTTGACTGACCCGCGCCCCCTTCTCCCCCCTTCCTCCCCTCTTTGGTGCCGCAGCATGACCACTTTTGCATAAATATATATCCATAAAAAAGTACAGATAACGTGATCCTACTGTGAAATATAAAACATTCAGGATTCAGAACTAGCCTGCTTCCGCTGCAACCCAACTTGATTAGTTTTGTGTCTTTGTGAAGGGCTAACTGCTCGTGGATTGTTCAATCGGGAATGTTGAAGTTGAGCCTGAATGAAAAGACCAGTCGTAAAGCACACAACATTTAGTTACAGATACTCCTAGTTCAATAAATGCATGGATATATAACAATTCACAGACTCACTTTTGTCTATGTCAATGAGGGAACGAGGGTCTTATATCGCCTTTCAATTCAACGATGCCATGTTATGCTATGCCAGTGTGTTTGCTTGTGTGGTGAAATATGTAGGCATTTTTTTTTTTTTTTTTTTTTTTTTTTTTTTTAAAAAAAAAAAAAAAAAAAAAGACTTTCAGCCCCAAGGTACATGATAATTCGATGGTTGATAAAGAGGGATGTTCGGTCTGGAAAGAGCCCTGGACTGGTCGCATAGTGTTCTGGATCTGTCTTTTTCATTCTATGGCTGAGTATAACTGCAGATTCAGACCCAAGGTGGTAAAAAAAAAACCATTCTTCCTTTATATATCTTTATTTCTATTTCTACTTCTATTTCTATTTCTATTTTGTTCTGTACAGTATCTTGTTGTTGTTGGCGTTTCCTGTCTGATGGTGGGCACAGCGGAAAAATAAATCTGGCGTTGAATCAACATTTTTTTTTTTTTTTTTTTTTTTGTTCAATTAAAGAAATTGAAATTAGAAAAAGAATACTTGATTTCGTTCTAGGCGCAGGGAGCCAAAAAAAAAAAAAAAAAAAAAAAAAAAAAAACGAGTAGAATGAATTGAGAGCCAGGTTATTAAAAAAAAAAATACTTCACTCCACTCTTTCATTCTTCATTGGTGTTTGTATGACCAAGATGATGTGAGATCCTCTTCTGTATACTCTTTCTCATTTATCAATGTATTAAAAAAAAAATGACATGTATTTTCTTATCCTTCTTCTGTTTTGTTCGTATCATTTGCTCGAATGGATTGGATATTCACCAATGGATACCATGTTTCAAAAGCAAAAAGCAATTGGACATCGATAATCTAGGCAACAGTCGGAAAAAAGAGAGACAACATTCTTTCCCCTCATTGTCTCATTCTCCCATTGGAGTCTCGACATTTCCGTTCAGACTAAAAATAAGCCCAAAATTACAAACCTTTTTTTTTTTTGTCCTGAACAACTTTCTTTGTCTCATTCTCTCCTTCTCTTTCTCTTTCTCTTCTTTATAAAGAACCATTCTCACCAACCTCTTCATTCCTCATTCCTCATCCCTCATCTCCCATTCCGTCCTCCTCCTCCTCATTCATCTTCCTTCCCCTCCCTTTCTTGCATCTACCTACATAACGTCCCTTCCCTCTCTTTGTTCTGTAACACAACATTGTACATAAGATTCTCTTGTAATACCCAATTTCCCTATTCTTCTCTCCACAACCCATTGCTTACTGAACAACTAACTAATCTCAAAGGAAAAAGGAAGAGAAAAAAAAAATGTTCAAAGCCTTTGAGACGTGGACAACACGTCGCTACGCATTCTTCATCATCTGGTTTATCCTCCATGTTATTCTCTTCATCTTTGGTGTCCTTCGTGTCAAATTGAACGATGACCTCATCAACCTGAATGCACCCCTCAACTGGTCTCTCTGGGTCGCCCGTGGTGGAGGCATGTGTCTTATCTGGGATTGTTGTCTCATCTTGCTCCCTGTCTGCCGTAATATCCTCCGTATCCTCCGTGTATCCTTCATCAACAAGTTGATTCCCATTGATGAGAACATTTGGTTCCACAAGATCACCGCATACTCCATCCTCTTCTGCACAATCGTCCATACCATTGGTCATTATGTCAACTTTTACAAGATGGATCGACTCTATCGACAGAACCCCACTGGCCCTTTTAACTTGACAGCAGCTGAACTCCTTTACAAAAGCCCTGCAGGTATCACTGGGCACATCATGTTGCTCTGCATGGCGCTCATGTACACCACTGCAAAACAGACTCAACGCCACAAGTCATTCGAATCCTTTTGGTATACTCATCATCTGGCATTCATCATGTTGGGCGCCCTGATGTTCCATGGTATTGGATGTATTGTCAAGGATCAACATGGCAGATGCAGAGGTTATGATTCTTATCAATATTTGGCGATCGGATACGTGCTCTATGTTATCGAGCGAGGCATTCGCTTTTACCGTGCTCGTCTGGACACTCGCTTGGTCAAGGCCATTCAACACCCTGCTGGAGTCATTGAGTTGCAGATTCAAAAGCCCTCGTTCTCTTACAAACCTGGTCAATACATGTTCATCAACGTACCTGACGTTAGCAAATACCAATGGCATCCTTTCACTATCACATCATCACCCTTTGAGGACTATGTCTCAGTTCATATCCGCCAGGTCGGTGACTGGACCCGTGCTCTCGGAACTCGTTTGGGTGTTGAGAGAGAGGAACGTGGGGGTAAACGGGATGGTGCTGGGGCAGGGAAAGGAGCAGGGCGCGGTGCTCAGGCTGGAAACCCACGTCCCGAGAAGAATCTTGAGCTTGTTGATGATCGAGGACAGGAAATTCGTGTACGAGCAGGATTTGCTATGCCAAAGGTCCAGATCGACGGACCCTTTGGAGCACCTACAGAGGATGTCTTTGATCATGAGATTGTGGTCCTGGTCGGCTCTGGTATCGGTGTGACGCCATTTGCTAGTATCTTGCGTGACATCTGGTACCGTGCCAATAACAATATGCCTCTCAAAACCCGACGTGTCGAGTTTTACTGGGTCTCTAGAGATTTGGCCTCCTTCAAATGGTTCCAGTCATTGTTGGCGACGATCGAACAATCGATGTTGAACGTCAAGCTCAAGATCAATATCTATTGTACTGCAGTCATGAAACCTGATCAGCACCACAATATTGCACTTCATATGCAGGATGAGTACACAGGCGGAGATACCATCACGGGCTTGCAGGCACTCACCAATTTTGGGCGTCCTAACTTTGGGGCCATCTTTACAGATTTGAGACAAGGCATCACTGATGGCACCTACTTGCCAGGTGCAAATCAAGAACTTGTGGTAGATGTCGCTGTCTTCTTTTGTGGGCCAGGCGCAATGGCCAAGGCTTTGAGAAAGGAATGTAGGGTCCATAGCAAGAACGGTGTCAAATTCTCGTTCAGGAAAGAGCACTTTTAATATAATAATAATAATAATAATAATAATAATAATAATAATAGAAATTGCTTTATCTTGTACAAGAATATAATGTTGAAAGAAATTGGAGCGACTTCATTGAAGGTTGTCTATTGCTTTATTTATTTACGTTCATATTTGTATGTTCAAACAGAGATAAATGATTTTCTATGACAAAGAATGTTTGAGCGCGAGCACAAGATTTTTTTTTTTTCTTTTTTAAAGCAAGAACTTCCAGAGGACTGCGCCTGCAATAATAGCCAGTCCAAGAATGTACGGGGTGCCGCTGTATATACAGATATGTATGATGCAAATGGCGTGATGACAATTGAGCATGAAAAAACAATGTTGAGTCAGGCCATGTCGTATCAAATTATATCCATGAGTGGGCAAAGAAAAAAAAAAAAAAAAAAAAAAAAAAAAGAGAGAGAGTGCAGAAAAGTTCGTCAGTTATCGATATAGATATATATAAATATATATTTTACCATTTCTCTTTTTAAAGTGTTGATTTATGCTGACAAATATGTTGTCTTTTTTCGGTTAGAAATAAAAATAACAGTGATAACTGCTACAATAAGAAAAAGAAATCTCCCAGGAACTTGATAACTGATGTTTAAGTAGTAAAACAGCTTTGCCAAGTCTTATTTTAAAAAAAAGAAAAAAACTTTGTTATTGCAATAGGTCTTTAAACCAAAAAAATAATATGTAATATAATATCTATTTTCAAAAAAGAAAAAAGTTGTCCTCTTCGCTTTGTACAGATAAAGAGTAATGGGAAGGAAAATAAAATAAATAAAATAAAATAGAGATTACATACAATATCTCCTTCCCAACGGCGAAATATGCACTCTGTATTCATTTTTCTCCATTGATCACGTAAAACATGAAAGGCAAAGGCGCTGTGGTGTTATTATGCCCTCGTGCAGAATGGTTTTTTTTTTTTTTTTTTTTTTTTTTTTTTTTTTTTTTTTGTGTGTGCGTGTGTGTATGTGCGTTTTTTTCTGTAGTCTAAAAGAAGCCTTTGACCCATGAAACGAACCTTCCAGACTCCGAGTTGTCACTTGCAGGAATAGGCTTCGGGGTCATCGAAGGAGCCTTGGTCTTCTGTGAAGAATCCTGAATCAAAGATAAGTTTCAAAAAAAGAAATGAGAACGATATTATTGATAATTATTTTACCGTTATCAGATCAAGCTAAAGTTGATGAGAATAAAAAAAAAAAAAAAAAAAAAAACAGAGGCCTCTTACGTCGTTCTTGTATTCTCCAATATACATCTTTTGCAGAAGCTCACGAGCCTCCTCGGAATGTCCAACATCTTCAAAAGATTCGGTGGCATCCTTGCCTGCTTCATCAAACATAACTTCCTCTCCACCAGGGTGCTAAAAATATTTAATGATAATCATGAATTTAGTGATCAATTGAAACCAGAAAATCGAAAAAAGATAGGCGATATCTGAATCAATCAGAAAAAAAAAAGACCTGGTGTGTGTGGGGTCAGAATAGCCAAGTGCTGGCTACATGATTGATTCGGCTTGTGATACAATCAAGTAATAAACAAGATGTACTCCTGGGGCTAAATTTTTTTTTTTTTTGCAATGGGATTGATTTGTCCGGTGTCGCCATTTAATAAAAAAAAAGCAGTGAGATCACAAAGACACACCTCATCAACAAAGCTGGTGCAGTCATAGACTTTCCCTGCGATAGCAAGGTAAAGGCTGTCTCTGGTGGCATGCTGAGCCAAGTCGGCTTTGGAGAAGACCTTGATCTCGGACATGATGAATTAGAAATATATTAGAGAATGGTGGGGGATGAAAGAAAGAGATTAGAAGTAAAAATGTTTGAGCGGACCTTTTTTAATTTTAATTTATTCATACGTGAATGTCTGTCATACATGTAATTTGTACGTATGTACAGGAAATAGAGATAAAATAAAAAGAAAAGGAATGGGTAATAGCTGTAGACTTTGACGACTATCCAAAAATCTTGCGATACAAGACAAAGAGGATAAGGAAGACAAGGACAATGATGATCGCTGCCGTAATGAGCTTGTTTGTTGCCATACTATAACAAGAAAAAAAAAAAAAAAAACATTGTAAGAGCTTAATTAGATATCGACACCACGCTTTTCCTTGTTAATGATCTGATCAAGAGCTTACTTACCGACGAGCCATGCCCTTTAGTGTGCGTGATGCCTTGTCGATATTTGAATCGGCTTCCAACAACTATCGTTGTAAGAATTAAAAAAAAAAAAAAAAAAAAAAGTCAGAGATACTCTAAAGTGTAAAACAGTCCCATTTCCAAAAAAGCAAAGTATAATTTGCCGGCCAATTTCATTACAGTGTTCCTAGTATGGATGATTTGTTCTCGCTGTCCTCTCAAGTCTGTCAGGATTCCTGCACCCAATTGTTCTATTATCATAAAAAGCATTAGCCATTAATGTTAAACCTTGGGCGTTAGTTGACAAAATATAAAACATAAAATAAAAAATGCTCCAAGGTGTCAAAAGTATCCTGAATTGAAATGCCAAATGAATTTCAATAATTTTGGCTCAATCATGAACTATACATACCTGTTTCGAGAGCAATCTTATGGCTGTCCTGCAGACGTCTGCTACTTTCTGCAAGCCTGTCTGTACCATTCAAGAGACGTGTGCGTTGATCCATTGATGCTGCATCCAAGTCCATTCCTCCACTGACGCCTCCCAGAAGCTCATCCCTGTCTGATGTTGACCTTGAGGTTGACTGTGCGCGTTTCTATCCATGGTCAAATATAATGAAACGATTAGAAATAGAAATCTCCAGTAAGCAATTGAGTTGTTGGTTGTTCCAGGCTAAAACTAGATTGCAAGCGATGATGCAAAAAAAAAAAAAAAAAAAAAAAATCTTGCCATTATTGGGCCTTACAAGAGTTTGCTTCAAGCGGTCTAGTTCGGTTTTGTATCCACGAAGTCTACCTTGCAGACGAGTCCTGGAGGCTTGAGGGAGGTTCAATAGTTCCATTTCCATTTGCTGCAACTAAAGTAACCCCATGTGAAAAAAGAAAATAGAAAAAAAATACTCGAAGTTAGGGAGAAAGAAATCTTTTTTATCCCTTTTTTTTCTTTCATCAGTAGATGTATCCATATCAGTCCACATACAATCTCATTTGCCTCATCGATCTCACGATCTGCAGCCCGAAGAGTTTGTTTTTTAATTTCTAAATCAGAAAATTGGTGAAAAAAAAAAAAAAAAAAAAAAAAAAAAAAGTCCGGTGGTCAGTTGCAAACACATACTTTGAAATATGAAGTAGTTAATCTTCCTTTGGCTACAACAACAATGAAGACAAAAGACTACGAGTAATAAAGCTGTGAAGCAGTGTAAAAATATCTGATGGAAAACACGCAAGTAAGGTAAAGCCATGGATGGTGCGTCATTTTTTATTTTTTATTTTTTTTTTTACCTCCAACTTGGCCACTAGAAGCATTGAGTCGCTCATTGATAGAGACTCTGATAGCCTCAAAGTCCTGTTCATAGCTTTCAAAGAGTTCAGAGCCACCAGCTGAGTCCATGGTTTTGTATGTTTAGTGTTATAGTAAAGTATAAAGTGTAAAGTGTGGAGTATAAAAGTGAAGTGAGTAATTAGAGTAAGTGAATGAGAGTGAATTGGGTTTATACTATTACTGCTGTTGTGAATACGACGGGTATGAGAAGGCTTTTTTAAGAGTGTAAGAAGTAAAAAAAAAAAAGTCTTGCTGTGTAGAAAAGTAGAAAAGGGGAGGGAAAGAAATAAAAACTGACCATGTGACGTCGATGAAAAAGAAATGGAGAATGACCTGTGCTGTCCACGTTTTTATTTTTTCTTCCTTGGTCATTGCAAAGCAAAACGCGTGGTCATTTGTAGACACATCAAAACTGGAATTGGGGCGATGGACTACTCGAGACAGGGGTATGCCGGAACACTTGCTAATGGCTCTACATCTTATCAACCCACTCGCAGGACCATAGGTCCAAACAGCAATGGATTGCCTCACCTTCCTTCGCTTCGAAGATGCGTTTCTACATTGGAAAGATCAACTCAGCTGGTAAAATAGTGAGCCTCTGGATGCATTTACATGACCAATGGCAGATGGCACCCTCTTTTCTTCTTCTTCCGATATGACCAACAAGGTATTAACATTGAAAATACATGTGCCCCTATTGCAATAATAAAAAAAAAAATAAAAAAAAAGCTGATATCAACTGTATCACTCCTGGACCAAGCAACATCTGGATACTCCAGGCTCAAAACAATCACATCCCATACAAAGGTATATAGAAGCCCTTTCTTTTATGATGATCTTATGGGCACCTTTTTTTTTTTTTTTTTTTTTTTTTTTTTTTTTAATTAGCCTTGTTCCTTATATGTTATCCTCATATTTTTCTGGATGTAATTAGGAATACGAACTAGTCTCTGAAGAAGATATCGCCAATGCACAGGTTGAAGTGGCTCGAGAAATTGAACCCGAACTCTTCAAATTGAGCCAAAAAGCCACTCAATCAATCTATGAGTTAGAGGCTCAAGAATACAAACTCTCACAACAAGTACAAGCAGAGGAGGCAAAAGCTGAACAACGAATACACCGGCAAAAATCTCTCCGATCGGGTCTTTCCAACATCAAGAGATTACAATCGTTGACAAGACGAAAGGAGGAACTGAGTAGGAGCGTCACAGAGCTTGATCAAGTCATAGAGCAAAAGCGACAGGAATTCGCTGAGATTGCCAATAGAATTGAGGCATTGGAAAAATCACGTCCAACTAGCGACAACAATGACAACAACCATGCTAATAGACCCACAAAACGATTGCGACGTGATCCATCTAATGAGTCACGAGAGTTGAGCATAATAGAACAAGAACGCAACAGAGAAGTCTTGAAGAGGGATCAGGAACTTGAGATAATTCAAAAAAGAATCGAGGAGAAACGTAATATTCTTAATGAGCTCAAGCACAAAACTGAGGCTCAGCATAGTCATTCAAATAGTCAAGACAGATTCAGCCCAAGTAGGATATCTCATTGATATCAGTGGAACTTGTTTTTTTTTTCTTTCGTAGTTGAACTGTGATTTTGATCCGAGCTTTTTTTTTTTTTTTTTTTTTTTTTTTCGTTTTTTTTTTTAGGTGCGCTATGGTCCATGTACTCCGGTCATTATCATCGCTTAGAGGAAGTGCTTCAGAGAGAGCTCCTGGTGGATCCCCGGGATAAGAGTGCGTATGAGGAAGCATTTGGACGCCTTTCATCAGCATATCTGAGAGAAGTTGACTCTCGACAGACAAAGGTAATGGCGAACTATAGTATTCTCTTTTTTTATACCAAATCATAGTAGGTCTTTTTTTTTTTTTTTTTTTTTTTTTTAATCATTATTCATCTACGACCTGCCATTACTTTAGACCGACAATGAGTTGAATAAGCTGGGTAGAGAAAAGACTAGGAAACTAGCACAAATGAGAATCCTTTGCAAACAGCTTTTCCCTGAAGGTAGCATAGGCATCACTATGGTCAGAGTACTAGAGTTGTTGGGAGAAAGCCCCCAAAATGAAATATACCACAAGGAGTTATTAAAGGTAAAGAGAAAAAAATCCTCACGCTAAGTGAAGGTATAACTTCTATACTTTGAGAACTCATCTCACCTTTTTTTATTTTTATTTTTATTTTTATTTTTTCCTTTAATAGGAGTTCCCACTAGAGGAGGAAGGACGACATAATTTAAATCGTGTTATTAATATTCTCAAGCAAGTTGGAGTGCTTGAATTGATACTAGAGTCCCGAGAGGAGCAAACGGAGCAACAAAGGGACGACGAAGGGCAGCAGAATGATGAGAAGGAACACCTTATCCTCAGGATCAAATTTGATGATGGTTCTACCGCAGCATAACACTCTTCCCAAATATGTATAATATGTAATTTTTTCGCCAGTCATACCAAGCCACATTCAATAACTGTTTATTGCTTTTTTTTTTTTTTTAAGTCCATACCACACTACCTAAGTACTTCGATTTGAGAGAACTTTTTCTTTTTTTCTTGTTCAATAACTAATAACTAATAATAATAATAAAAAAAATATAAAAAAAAATCCCCACAATGGTGTCCAAAAAGTCCAAAAAGTCATTGACTGAGGATTCCAACAAGTCATCGTCTGCATCCGATGCATTGTTGGACCAAATTGCCAACTTTTATATTCTTCCAATACACATGCCAGCCGTCACTACTTCGTCTGCTACCTCCTCCTCCTCTCATATTTCAGCAACCTACAAGAACGTCCTACACTATCTTTATTTCAAGAAGCATGAATCTCCCAAGGAGGACTCAAAGACACCCAAGAATAGGACATTATTTGTCTTGAACCTCCCAATTGATTCAACTGAAGCCCATATCCGGGAATTATTCAAACCCTATGGACGAGTCATCTCTGTTTATTTCATCAACAAAATTCGAGATAATAATAACAATATGACGGAGATGACAAGAGAAGAACGTGAACAACAGGAAGAATTGGAAAGATTGGAACAAGAAGCAGAGGCATTAGAGAATGCTAAAAACGAAAGCAAAAAGAAAGGAAAGAAAGGAGCATCAACGTCTACATCAGGATCAGGGTTAGGAGCAGGGGCACAGAATGGGAGTGACAAAATTACACACAGGAGGTTGTTGACAACTGGAGCGCAGGCATATGTAGTCTTTTTGGAGGAACAAGAAGTAACCAAAGTCTTGAACATGAAGAAGAAAAAGAGGACTTGGATTGGCGATGATGTTTCCAAACTATCAACCTTGGGTGTCGCAAGTATGTTTTTTTTTTGTGTGTGTTTACGATTACTATTTTATTCATTTATTGATATAAACGTCATATCCAGCTCTCTGGATGACAAGGATCAAGATTTCAATTTTTAATTTTTACCTCTTTTTTTTTTTTTTTTTTTTTTTTTTCTCCTATATACTGAAATAGAATGGATCAACGACTATCACAGAATGCGACCAGATCATGCATCATTGCAAGCCAAGGTGGATGAATATATGGATAAGTTTGAGCGGTCAGAGTATGAAGCTGAACAGGCAGCATTGGCAAGATTGAATGCCATGGATGAGGATGGATTTACTCTTGTGACTAGTGCTGGAAACAAAGGCTATAATACCGATGGAGTCATCAGAGTTCAGGCCATCAAATCTGAAGATGCAAAGAAGATCAAACCCAAGAAGAAAGAACTTCAGGACTTTTACCGCTTCCAGATGCGTGAGGCTAAACGCGACAGTAAGGTTCTTTTTTTTTTCTTTAAAAAAAAAAAAAAAAAAAAAAAAACCTGGACTGGTAACTGAACATTTTCTTATTTTTTTTTCCCCCCCTTTTTTTTATTAGAATTGGTCGAGTTGCGTCGCAAGTTCGAGGAAGATAAGATTAGGATCGAAGCACTTAAAGCTAACAAACGTTTCAAGCCTTACTAAAAAGTTTTTCAAATTGTTGCTCACATTGCCATCATCACTGCACCTTTTTTTTAAAAATTTTTCTTTTCTTCTTCTTACTCCTGCATGTCATTTAAATTCTTTGTATTTTCACATCTTCATAGTCTTTCCGTAAATAAATTAAAATCCCCCTCAAAAAAAAAAAAAAAAAAAAAAAAAAAAAAAACTTTATTAAAGTTTGTGGTATCACCTAGCGGTCAAAATTACGACCTTCTGCTATAGGGATTTGGCCACCACTTTTTGCATAGTCTTCCAATAAGGTTAAAAGTCGTGTGGTTCCATCAATTCCTTGCTTTGGGACCATAGCAATAAATTCATTTTTAAGCAGTCGAAGAACTTTATGAGCTTGCTGTCTATAATTACTCAGGTAGCTGTTTCCACAAACTTCCAAGAAAACCGTGATCAATGATGGAGTAATAGGTCGAGGTGGCATATTCAAAATGCGCGCCATCCAGGTCCATGCATGCGACATCGAATGAATGTTTCTACCGACTATTAAAATAAAAAATAAAAAATAAATAAATAAATAAATAAATAAAGATAAGAATAAGATATAACTTAATATTAGAAGAGTTTGCTCCATGCATTACCTGCTGGCGTAGTCTGCATAATTGCACAATAAAGCGTAAACATTGCGCATTGTCTAGCGTTGTATTGAGCCTCAGATTCGAAACCTTTCCCACTCTTCTTATACCCTAGCTTTGCCAAAAATTCATCCGATGTATCATTCTTTTATATGTTGCAGATATTATATGTATATATAAAGAGCAAAACATCATGGTTAATTCATGAAATAAAAAAGAATAAAAAAGAATAAAATAAAATAAAGCTTCCACATACCGGACCCTTTTGGATGTATATCGGTGTTACATAAGGGCATTTTTTTGCAAAGCGGGACATAAGCACATCTAAGAACTGTGGGTGATCCATGAACAGCAGTACAGCAACATACGCCAGTGGGAATGTAGGCGCCGACTTGACTAATGCTTCTGTTTCTGCTTGTTTCTGATTGGTAGCCAGCGGGGTAAAAAATAAAAAAAATAAAAAATAAAAAAAAATTAACAAGAAAAAAGAGAGAAGTAGAAAGGAAGGAATGGGATAATAGAGCAGTAAAGTTTTACAGGACATACGACAAGTTTCTTGGCTGTACAGTTCAGCACCCAAAAGTAGGCATCCTGACTGTTGCTCATAGTCTTTTTGAAATAGTTATTAATTTCCGTCGCCTAAAGAAAAGAAATAGAAGCAAAAAAAAAAAAAAAAAAAAAAAAATGAGCCCCAACAGTATCTTCCAAGTATCAAAAAGGCCAAAGCTTTTTTCATATTCACATAATGGGCAACTTACAACACGATAGACCTCTTCTTGTTTGTTAATAAGTTGACCAATAGAGGCCACAATATCTCGTCGAGCCCCAAAACAGAATTTCTTTATAGCAGGATTGTTCGTCACTGTAGGCAAGACCTTGGTCCTGATGTGCTCTAGTATCTGGGAGTAGCGCCCATATTCTTCTCTAGCTGCTTCGCTTACAAAGATAGCACTGGATTCTGCAGAGGCTTTCTCTGCTGCCGCTACCGCAGCCCTCTTGGCACTTTCTGCAGCAGCAGCAGCAGCATCCGCAGCCGCCTTCACTTGAGCCTCTTTCTTTGCTGCCTCTGCCTTCTTTTTCTCTTCAGCTTCTTTAGCAACCCTCTCCTTTGCCTCCTTTTCTTCTTTGAGTGCCTGCTCACGAATTCGAATCGCGGTTTCTCTCTCCTCCTTGATTTGAGCCAAGCATGCTTCAATTTGCTATCATACCGAACAAAAAAAATAAAATAAAATAAAATGAAATAAAATAAAATGAAACAAAATAAAATAAAAAATAAAATAAAATGAAATAAATTAAAATAAAATAAAATAAAATAAAAAATAAAAAAAATAAATAAATAAAACAAAATAAAAATAAAAATTAAAAATAAAAGATAAAAAAGTCATTTGATTGTATCGTAAGTATATTATGCTCTATCCGCCTTATCCCCGTACGCTCATTCATTGGCTTCCCACATAGAAAATAAATATGCTTGCGCTGAGTTCTACTAACCTCCGTCATAGCTTGGTTCCTAGCATCAATCTCCTTCTTTCGTTGTTCTTTAATCGCCTCAGTCTCCAATGTCATAGCTTTAAGTCGCTGTGCAATATCTTGATGGTCTCCTGATATGTTATAAACTCCAGCTGTCTTACTATGGTTCGTATCAAGTTGCTTGAAATCTTGTGTGATCTTTTCTGCAATCCGTGGTGCAATTTCCTGTGCAATGTAATAATAGATTGTTGTTGTTGTTGTTGTTTTTCAGATGAGAAGATTTTTCAATGTGTACTTTCCTTCAAGAATGTCATAGCAACATAAAAGAGACTCTTTTTTTTTCTGCCATTTGTTTTCCTAGTCGTACCTTTCCCTCTTCCTGTAATTGTTGTAACTTGAGATCCCATGGATCCATTCGACCAGTAATATGTGCTACATAGTGAGCTAGCTCCAGCTTGTTACGATCTACAGGACCAGGAAGTGCTCCTGACTTTGCAGTACGATTTGGTACTACAGGGGAAGCCTCGTCTTCACTGTCTGTTGTAAAATAATATTCATCCTCATCTGTAAAACTGTCTTGATCTTTCTCTTCTTCTTCTTCTTCCTCTTCCTCAGATGTTGAATATTCGGTCAGACCATAACCTCGAGGTGGTGGTCGATAATGTGAACTTAATGATCCATTAATGCCAGCAGATAATCTAGAGGTCTGTGAATTGCGACGGTTGTTGATGGTATTGAAGACATAAGATCCTTCGACCGTTGCTGCTGCTGCCTTTGCATTTGCCTTTGTGTTGGGTGAGACATGTTTAGTAGTAGAAGCAAGACCAATCTTTTGATAATATATAGAAGGATCCCTTGATAATGGCAGTTTCTTCTGAGAATGATTGGCATCGTCACTGCTGTCGGTTTCACTGTCAAGACCACCGTCATATCCAAAAGAACCTCCTTTCCTCACTGTATTCGTAGTGCCTGAATGTCTTAATCGTTCTAATTCAGGGTCGTCCCGTTGAACAAAACCATCTGTCACAGAGCGGCGAAGGATATATTCCAGTGGTAATTCTCCAGTTGACATCTTTATTATAATTATGAGAATGTGAGGAAAAAAAATAAAAAATAAAAAATAACGAATCGTACTGCGTTCAAAAAGCTCAATGACACGTAAAAGAGTTCTTCCACCCTTGATGCGTGGTAAAGCAGCATGATCACGTGAGAATCGCGCCAATTAGTGTCCCAAGTTCCAATGACCCGTACTGATGTACAGTACATGTACTGAACATACGTATTTGGAGTATAACACAAACCTCTCTCAAAATACGTCATAGATGTTGCTTCGGTGATGGATTTTCTCGCGGTTTCTTGATCCCTATTCAGCCTCGAATAGTGCTCGACATTTGACGCGCGCTGAACAACTGCCTCTCATCCATGGATATGCTCCAACCTTGTCTATCAGCTGAAGGTAGAGGGGTAGCTGTTAATATCCGCGGACGACGTTGGCTATGTTGTGGCCAGCCATCACATCTCTGTGCATAAACATCTTGCTTGCGCTTGGAACAATAGAGTAAACCGTGGTCCAGCTAGTATGGGGTTTCTCTCAGTATGGTCATTAAATAACCATCGATCTCTTAACAAAAGTGTAAACTTTCATGTTGATTGATAAACCATTATATATGCTGCATAAGAGCTATTTTCAGAGGTTTTTCAAAAAAAAAAAAAAATAAAAAAAAATAAAAAAACTTCCTGATAATCGTACATATTCACCTATTTCGCGTATTTTGGATCGAGTTTGTATTGTTAATGAAAGCCAGGCAATAATTTATTCGAACTATTTAGTAATCTCTAGAGCTGCACGTCCTTGCTAGTGAGTAACCTATATGCTTCTTGATACTTGGCCATTGTGTTGGTGACTACATGCTCAGGAAGAGTGATACCAGTGGTCTTGTCGAATCCAATTGATTCAAGGTAGTTACGGATATATTGCTTGTCAAAACTATCATTAAAATAGGTGGAGTTAAAAAGATATGAGTGAGCGATACTAACGACTGATGTATTCTCACACATGGTGTTTTTTTCCTGCGATAAATTATTATACCTGTCTTGACTAGCTCCAACTTTATAAGATGCAGCCGGCCAGAAGCGGGAAGAATCTAATTACATTAAACATCGCAATGTAGCATTAACGAACGATGTTACATATTATAGGATCGGTTGCTTTACCAAATATTGAGCAATGCCACCGAGATTTTTTTTTTTTTTTTTTTTTTTTTTTTTGATATGGAGATTGGCAGTCAAGTTCTTTACCTGGTGTCAAGACCTCATCGATCAAGTAAAGATTATCGTTCTCATCGACACCAAACTCAAATTTGGTGTCGGCAATGATAATTCCATGCTCCAAAGCATAGTCACGAGCCTTGGTGTAGAGCTCAACAGAGACCCTAGCCATTTCGGCAGCATGCTTCTCACCAATGATGGCTGCAGCTTTGCTTGGGTGAATATTTTCATCATGATCGCCGATTTCGGCTTTGGTACTTGGTGTCCACAATGGCTTGGGGAATGCTTGACTTTCCTGCATATCTTCAGGAAGAGCAATATCGCACACAGTTCCCTTCTCCTTGTACTCTTTCCATGCAGAACCTGTAGAAATCAAAAAAAATTGGTTAGTTTGACTGGCTGGTATTTGTTTTAAACATTCTTAAAAAGTTATTCGTTCACTTGCCAGTGATGTACCCTCGGACAATTGATTCAATGGGAAGGACACGCAGACTCTTAACAAGCATGGATCGACCTTCGAGTTGATCACGGTACTGTTTGACTTTATCAGGCATCTCTTCAAAGTTGGCGGTGATCAGATGGTTGGGTACAACATCCTTGAGATATGAGAACCAGAAGTCGCTGATCTTTGTAAGAAGCTTGCCTTTGTTGGTAATTCCCTGTAATTTTCCCCCAGAGATAATTCAAATTATCAATTGTGAACTAAGTGGGTGAGTCAGAGTGTATGCATTCAAGGAAAAAAAAAAAAAAAAAAAAAATACAGCGGAGGACACGTTTCTTCTGATCAGATCAATAAGGTTTGTTTTGTCATGAACCCATTCGCGGTTCTTACATTGTTCATGATCACATCGAAAGCACTGATCCTGTCGGTGGCGACAAAAAGGAGTGAGTGGTCGTCGACTCTGTAGAGATCACGGACTTTTCCGCGGGCAACGAATTGAAGATCAGGGCAGTTTGTTGAGACGACGGCAGTCATGGTCTGCGTATCTTTATGACAAAATGAAAATAGTAAAGAAGAAAAGAAAAAAGGAAACGTTACTGTGCAGAGGGGAAAAAAAGCCCGTATGAATAAACAGTAACAGGATAGATTGCATGTCAGTAGATCGTCTACACGTTGACTTTCGTTATGAAATGTAATGCTTACTATCTGACCATGATTCTTCACTTGCCAATGAATGGGACCGCATGAGGGAGAATATGTTTCGGTTCTCGGTTCAACTACTTTTTATTGTTTGTTCACCTTTCTCTATCTTCCTCTTTTCCTTCCGCTATTTTTCTTTTTTCCTTTTTTTCTTTCCTTTCCTAATAACATCTTAACATTCAATCAGTATGAAGGATACTTCTGATAACTCATCTATCGATCAGACCCTGATAGCATTGGATAGCTATGTGCTTTTAGGCAAATCTGGACTTCGGGTCAGTCCCTTAGCGCTCGGGACGCTGGTAATTTTAAAAAGGCATTTGGTTTTTTTTTTTTTTTTTTTTTTTTTGCTTTCTGTGAGCGATCTCTTTCATCAAGCCTATAATAACCTCTTCCATGTTTCAATATAGACCTTTGGAGAAGAATGGGTAAATGTAGTATGCTTCGACAAGATAGGCCTGCTATTTACTATTAGACGCCCATCACTACGAATGGGTGCTTTTTTAGGGCTATGGTAACAATAAGGAAGCGTGTAGAAAAATATTCGATACTTACTACGAAAGAGGAGGCAATTTTTTTGACACCGCCAATACTTACACAAATGGTGATTCGGAAAGATTCTTGGGAGAATACATTTCTAGCAAGAGAAGCGGGTGTGTGGTCGCCACAAAGTACACAAGTAAGCATAAGCATGCCATCTTGTTCAGACAACTTTCATTTTCTGTTTCCGTGTACTAATCTCCTTTACAGTCAATGCAGCGTCGAATGAGACTCTTGCAGGTCGATATAGTCATCCCAATGCCAATGCTGGTAATGTGAATGACGTGGATTTTATCATTAGTTCTCTCACTTAAAGTGAGTCGTTATGAATTAAACATTGTACGATTGATGCTATTGTTTTACTCTCCAGGTGGCAACCATCGCAAAAATCTAGTAGAGACCTTGGATGGTAGTTTGAAGCGTATGGGAGTGGGCTACGTGGACATCCTCTATGTCCACCTCTGGGAGTATAGAATCCCCATTTACGAAGTCATGCGGGCCTTGGACGATGTTGTCCGTGCAGGGAAAGCTCTCTATGTTGCTGTGAGCGACACTCCCAGCTGGGTGGTTTCTTGTATGTTGTAGTTGTCTTTTTCTTTATTATTGTTGACTGTTGTTATTTGCTTTGATGAACAATATCTAAGGATCATATGGGTTTGTCTTACATTTCAATAGCTGCCAACACAATGGCTGATCTACGCGGATTGACACCGTTCATTGGCTTCCAAACACGCTATAATCTTTTGAACCGTTCCCTCGAGTCCGATATTCAGCCCATGTGTGCGGATATGGGTATTGGAATTATCCCCTGGTCTGTCCTTGCTGAAGGATTCCTCACTGGAAAGCATTCGCGCGAACAGAAAAACAAGGATAGTAAGCGCAAAGGCCAGGTGGACAGCCACTTCAAACACGACAGAAACTGGAGAATCTTGGACGAGGTCAAGGCCATTGCTCAAGAATGTAACAGAACACCCGCACAAGTGGCAATGAACTGGATATTGCAAAAGCCTGGCATCACGTCACCTTTGATCGGTGCTCGTACCTTGGAGCAGTTGGAAGATAACCTGAACGCATTGGAGTTCACGTTGAAGCCATCCCAGATGGCTCGACTTGATTCTGTCAGCAATCCCAAGGAGTGGCCGTTCCCTCAGGATATTGCTAGAAACCTAGATAAATATATCGGTCTTGGAGTCGATGTCGAGATGCCTAGACAGTTTCAAGCCTTGTGTAATCTTCGTACAAGTAATATATAGAGCGCGTCTACCATACCATACATGGCAGATCTCTACTATAGAACATTGTATATAAATAAACAAATTGTCTCGGCGTTGCAGTTGATAGAAAGAGCTTCGCAACAAAACACCAGTGTTTGCCAAGAATGTGCCAACTTGTTCACCTTTTTAGGAAGCGATAATTAGCTTGGTTACCAACATAAATAATGATCCGCAGCCTTGTTTGGTTCTGTTCCTTCTTTTTTCCTTCTTCTTCCACAGAACCTCATCTTGTCTTGTTTGTTTTCGTTGTTCACTTACATTTTCTTTTTAATTATCATCGTCATTCGTAAGGGCATAACGTTCTCCATCTCACTTCCAACATGGGCTCTTTACACTTTCCAACTGAGCAGCGTAAAACCATCGATATCGGTGACGGACTCATACTTCGTTGGTCCACCAAGGATGATACTGAAAATGTCGGAAAACTCCTTGGTGAATGCTTCAGGGTACTCAACAAAAATCACGACGTTCTTAATTTATGTAGATCAAGGTCAGGGGTTTTTTAATATCATGATTAATAATAAGATCGTCATAAATCTCTCGATTTTATTAGTGGCTTCCTGTTGGAGATCCCCATCCTACTGATAGAATCCCCGGTCCCAATCAGTTTGTGATTGCAGCCGCAGTAAGGAACTATTCGGTTTTGTTTTTATTTTTTATTTTTTGTTTTGCCACGGGCGCACGATACGGAGAACAATTGGGTGATATTCCTGACGATAGCAAACCGCTGTGATTCTAATCGTTTAGAGACGATTATTGAGTGGAAAATCAGCTGTTATGAGTGAACATGACTACGCACTTGTCGAGGATACTAAGCGTTCGAATGGCAAGAACCCGATTGTAGCATGTGTATCTTTGCATCGAGTGAGAGCATTCTATGGATCTGTGGATTTGTCTTTTGGCAAACCAGAATTGATTGCGACCGACCCTGTAAGCACCCTTTTTTTCTTAAAAACGTATTTGTAACAGCTCGACTGTTGTCTTTATTTATTTATATTTATTTTCTTCATTGATAAATTATGGCATGTGCTCTTGCCAGGAATATCGCAATAAGGGACTTATCCGAAAGCTCCTTTTTGAGCTGGTCCACCCTGAATCAGACGCTCGAGGCGATGTTCTCCAGTTGATTCCTGGTATTGCACATTTTTATCGGTAAGATTTCTCACTCATCCTGATAATTGAGACATTTTATTTAAAGTTACATCCCTCATAACTTTTTGTACCCTTTTTCCCACATGATGATAGTCAATTTGGATATGAGTATGGCCTACTTGTTAGGCCAAATGCTAAAATCGAGAGCACCAGTGTTGTTCCCACGCTTGCCAAAGGCAAGTCAGAACCCTACATCCTCCGCGTTGCTAACAAGGACGATCTTCCATTTTTAAACCGTCTCAGTACACCTGCCAACATGCATTTGAACGCAACGGTCGGTACTCATTACAGTCCCGAATACTGGCGGTACACTATACATGATGTATTTGAGATCAAACAGAACCGATTCGATGGAGATCGTGACACTCGGATCATCATTGACGCGGCATCTAAAAAGCCTGTTGGATTCACAGTGCTATCCAATGGATTCTTCGGGGCCCAGTTGGAGGCTATGGCCTTAGATGAACAAGAAGTTTCCTATGTTCAGACTTGGCATTCAGTTCTTAGGCAGCTCTTTGATATCACCAAGGAACGTCAGGCCCTGATTATTAAAGAACGTGAGGCCGCGTTGGCAAGTGACAAGGAGCCATCGGACGAAGGAATTAAAGAAGCTGAACCGGAATCCACTGCTTCCCCAAGTGGTCCCATCGTATCGATTGTAGCCGCAACCAGCGGGAATACATCGGTTCCTACCGAAAAAGACGAGAAAAAAGAAGCGCCGTTCCAGCTTGCATATAGCTTGCACAAGCGACATCCTCTGAGCCTCCTTCTTGGCCAGAGCCTTAAGCGTAAGCCTAGCTATGAGCAAGGTTTCAGAGTATATACTCGTATTCTCAGTTATTCAGCCTTCATTAAGAAGGTTGCTCCAGAATTGGAGAAACGTCTTGCCAACTCTGCACTGGCTGGTGTGAATGGTCGGCTGCAACTTGATTTTTACCGCAAAGTTGAAGGATCTAGTGGAAAGGGACTGGAAGTTATCTTCAAGGATGGCAAAATTGAGGATGCAAAGGACTGGGCCAAACCATCGCCTGAAAAGTTGTTTGAGGAGAGACTGGCTTGGGAAAAGGAAGGAGAGGCGCCGTTAATTTTCAGTGCAGGTTTCATGCCGCTTACATTCACACCCTTAGTCACAGGCTTGCGTTCATTGACAGAGTTGAATGAGGCATATGGTGATGTCCTTATCAGGGATGAATCGACTCGTCTTTTGTTGAACATTTTGTTCCCCAAAGGCGACCATCACATTGATGTGTTCTATTGGTGAAAAAAAATAAAAAAATAAAAATAAAAAATAAAAAAAAAAAGTCTTTGTTTGCCGTTGAACTGGGACATTTATATCATTATAAAAATAAATAAGGAATGAGCAATCCACTAGGTTCCATTCGTCTATTAATTTGATATGCAATCTTCCTTTATTAAATCCAAATATTGGCTGGATAGCTGTAGAGTTTATAAAGCATATGATGAGATTTTTTTACGCAGACTTGTCTTCAACAAACTTCAGCTGGATATTGACAGAGCCGTTGTCAGAGATTCCGAACCACTTGGGGAGTTTGTAATCTTGAGCAGGGCTCTCGCCACTCGCCATTACTTGATCCAGAGAAATGGTAGTCTGCCCAATCTTATCATTACTGAATGTGTCCTTATCAACAGCACGGACATACAACTTGTTCTGGCCAGGGCGGACATAAAAACAGAAGGTCTCATCGAAAACCGGATCTTGGCCTTTGGTGTCCTTGGAGCGCTGCTTGTATGGTTTCTCGAGCCACATCTCGATAAAAGGGTCATTTCTGCTTACCCGGTCCTTATTGGTGAGTTTGTTTGCACGATTCAACTTGACATAGAGTTGACCCTTCTTGGTGGCCAAAATGTTGACACCACTGGCTTCGACATCGGTCTTGACTACTGGGATTGTAGCGGCCATGACAGCGACAGGCATAAGGAAGATGGCGATAAGGGTTTTAAAACGCATAGTGGAGCGAAGTATAAAGGGGAAAAAAGGATGTAAAGCAGACTGATTTTTACAGGTTAGTTGTTGAGTGGGCAATTGAGTTAATGTTGATTTTTACTCGAAAGGACGTGTAATTTGCTCTCCATTTAAATGTAAAAATGAGAGATTTATTGGAGACAAATGGATCCAAAGTAGTTTGGCTTTCAGAGAGAAAGATACGCGTAAAATGATGCATTGGAACACGTTTCACATAGAAATAACTATAATTATAACAACAGTTTCATCTCATGGCTTGGATCCAAGTCAGGATGTAGCAGAATGAGTGTCTTTTCTGTCTATCTCGCCAAAACATTGGTCTTAGAAAAAGACCCAGGGTATCAAATGCTTCTCAATGGGTTCCTCTTGGAAAAAAAAAAAAAAAAAAAAAAAAGATATAAGGTCTGTGAAGACGCAGTTTGTCAAAGTATCATTTGCTCATATCCCAACTAAACCATGAAGCTCCTTACCTTGTCCGCTTTGATCATTGCTCCTGTCTTTGCCGCCGTTGCTGTTGTATCTTCTTCAGCAGACACCAGCTGCATGGATCTTGGAAGCACTTCTGACACTGCTTTCGACCCCACTATCCAAGCCTCCAAACACAAGGGTCAGCTCTACGTCAAGTTGAACCGTGCCACCAATCTGAAGGACAAGGATTGGTTTGGCAAGTCGGATCCATTTATTGAGATGTGGCTTGAAAAATCATACAAGCACCGATCCAAGGACACGAAGGGCCTCAACCCTGTCTTCGACGAGACTTTTTGCTTCTATGTTCGTCCTGGCCAAGACAAACTGCATGTCCGTGTTGTTGATAAGGATACATTCCGTAATGACAAGATTGGCGACACTTCCATCTCTTTGACAAATGTCTTTAACACAGGCCGTGAGGGACCCAAAGACTACAATCTTCCCAAGTGGCTTGGTCTCCGTAGTAACGGACACATCAATATGCAGATGCAGTTCGTTGAGGATCGTTCGTGAACTATTCATAGCTCTTTTCAATAAATAAAGAACTAATGTAGCTTCCTTCGAATAATGGAGAGTATCCAACAGTACAACATGCCCAAGCTTTCACACACCTGATACCAGAATTAATACCTATTGGCCCTAGACTCCAGGAGAAGTAGCTCTTGGCTTCTGTGACTTGGCTATTAACGCCAAGTTGGCTTGTTGAGAAACTGCTTTAAATAGATTTTTTTTTTTTTTTTTTTTTTGACACAATTGTGACGAGCCGGCCTACAATTCTAGTTGCACTAGATTCTACGCCACATCCCTACAGGCGAAAGCCTAAGCCGCATTTGGAGGTGTGGACTTTGGGACACAGGCTGTGCCGGAGTCACTATGATCTATTTGCATAGACAGCTTCGCCATTTCTTTTCTCTTCTTCATTTTCTTGTTAAAGACCCATCATTAAAGATGTTGCTTCGCGACTTCAGTGTCGTAACTCCTTATAACGCAAGACCATCCTCCTGTGGTTATTGCAAATCCTCTGCAGGTTCACGTACCTATGGAATGTCTGCTCATCTCATGACACCAAAGGTAATGAATGACCACGATATCATGTTCAAATGGTAGTCATCGAACAACAGCCATATGATATCTATATTCATATGTACAACCGCACTGTTGGCGGTTCATCTTTTGCAATAGGACTACCAAGCACTCATTAATCGAGGCTGGAGACGGTAAGAGCTTTTTTCTTTTTTTTTTTTTCTTTTTTTTTGATGCTGCGCGTATCTCCTCCACCTTCTCTATTATAAAAGCTAATTGATCTCCAATGCATTTAATTTGGACCGTTAGATCTGGACGTTATCTCTACAAGCCTAACCTCCGAGATAGCTGTTGTCCCCAATATACCATTCGGTAAAAAAAAAAAAAGAATAATATACGGAGAGAAGTTTTAGCATTCAATCAATTGGTACTTTATATTATCATTCTGACATATTCAAAATAACTTTTCCTTCTATTCCTCTTCTTACAGGCTGAATGCAAACGAATTTGAGGCATCGAAACATCAACGTCAGATTGTGAATCGATTCAATACGTATATCCAGGAAGGTGATGATAGCTTTGAGAAGGATATTACTTTACGCAAAGCGGAGAGATCTGAGGTAGAGAAACAGGAATCTTCTAAAGACTCAATAGAGACATCATCAACAGCTGCAACTTTGATTCCAACTGCGTCTACTCCAATATCGACACCTAAAGAACCTGGCACATCAGCATCAACAACACCTTCTAAGAAGCAAAAACAAAAGAAGCCCCCAAAGAATGCACCTCAGGATCTAAGGACACGTATCCGTTTATCAGAATATCTTCACTCACCTGAGGTCAGCTCTTGGAAGCATCGCTTGAAGGTAATAACAAAAGAAGTATTGAATATATGCCCAAGCCGTGGTCCAAAAACATAACTGAAAAAAAAAAAAAAAAAAAAAAAAAACTCGCCTACTAATATGACACTTATTATTGTTATTATTCTTTTTTATTTAGATCATACTAGAACCGTCATCCTTTACGGAAGAAAAGTATGCCCTGTATGCGAAATATCAAAAGGAAGTCCATCATGAATCTAAATCCAGGTGCCTACCAAAAGGATTCACCAACTTTTTGGTTTCGACACCTCTCACGGTATATAAAATAATTGTTTTTTAGTTCACTTGTTATAAATCCCCTATATGCACTTGTACTGAATTCGATTCAATACATACTTATTAAGCCTTCAAAGGAATCGAACTGGACAGAAGAGGACCCAGGATTTGGTTCTTTCCACCAATGTTATTATCTGGATGACAAGCTAATTGCGGTTTCAGTGATAGACATATTACCAGAGTGCGTATCAGCTGTTTACTTTTTCTACGACACAGATTACTCAGTTTTATCACTTGGGAAATACAGTGCCCAAAGAGAGATTGCGCTTGCTCAGACATTGAACACAAAACCTGGATATGAGAATCTTAAATATTACTACATGGGTACGAATTTTTAACAGCAATTGCTTAAATCTAGCCCCAAATCGCCGACACCAAAGAGAAGCAAACCATATCTGACTTTTTTTTATTTAATTTATCATGCTACATAATATACTTGCATCCCACTATAGGCTTTTACATTTTCACCTGTCCAAAGATGACTTACAAGGGCCAGTTTCATCCTTCGTACCTCTTGGATCCAGTAAGCATCATTTCAGATTTCGCTTTTTCTTGCTTTATAATTATACCAGAAGGCACTGCCTCAATTTTTGACACAACCCGCTCGTCATCAAATACTGTTATTTAGGAAACGTATAACTGGATTGAATTCAAAAAGTGCCAGCAGGTCCTTGGAGAGCAGCGTTATACTAGCTTTGAACATCCAACGGCAATGAATCCGCTTTTTGAGGCAAAGGTGAAAACAATCATTGAGAAGAAGAAGGGCTCACCATCATCGGATAGTTCTGAAGACGAAGATGAAGTTGAGAATGATAGCGATGGCACGGATGCCGATGAATGGGAAAGTGTCGATGAAGATGGGGAAGATGAATATGAGGACAGCGGTTCAGACGGGATCAACAACAAGGCTCCGCGGGACTCCAATAACGAAAGTGAAAGCGGAAAAGGTACTGGTAACGAACGGAAAAAGAAACGATTGAGTAAACTCACTACAGGAATAGAAGCAGAAACAGAATCAAGTATCGAGAAGAGCGCGTCGGAAGCTACAGAGAAAGAAACTGCAGTTGCTGCAAAGAAACAGAGTCGGGAGATGAAGCGAGTGTTTCGTGAGACCATCAAGCAGCCTCCACCAGGGTGCTTAGATCCAAAGGACTTGACGCAATATGATCTAGCTGGGGTCCTTTGTCTGACCAATTCCAATACATTGCGCCCAGTCTTGATGACAGACATGTATCGGAACCACAAGGATATTCAGAAAACTGTCGCAGAGTATGTTTCATATGTTGGTATCGATCTAGCCAATGCCATGATCCTCTATATCTTATGATGGGTGATGAGGAAACATTGTTCGTGTCTATTGGATATAGTGTGTTGTTCGTATATAGTACATCCAAAAAGAAAAGCCCTTGTACTTTTTCTTTGTAATTGGCATTGTATTCGAATGGAAGCTTTATAAAGCATAGCGACATAGTTTACACGGGGTGAACTCTCTAAATTTGATCTATCTTTGCTTGGTCATCCACAATCTCGTCATCATCTGAAACGAAACAATAGATGAAATAGAAAAAAGTTAATGCGTGACATGGGACATTTTAGGTTCAAAGGCTGACACTTGCAGAAAAAAATCGCGTGGTGTTTACCTCGACGACGGAAAATCGTAATCTCCTGCTGCTTGAAATAGCGTCTATTTTCCTCATCGATCAGAACCAAGTTCAGATAATATCTTGCAGAGAATTTCATGTTGACTATTTTAATGGGAAAACCCGATTGGATTGTAACATTTTTAGGACATGTCTGTGGAACGAAACATTGGAAAAAAAAAAAAATAAATAAACACATGTAGCTATTATTACCGTCTCGGAACGTTGGGGTAAGTTCGAATCCTCCTAAGAAAAGACGTATAGGGATGGTTTCGCCACGAACAGGCGCACCATCCATGATTTCAAACTTTGTGATGGTTTCGCTCTCATTGTATTGATTTGGTGGTGCACCTGTAGTTTCCCTGCGGATAATAGAAAGCTCCATGTGTTTGATCTTGATGCGGACCAAGAGGAAATAGATCTTCCCAACAATAACATCCTTCAAATGATATCTATTCAACGAAATAAAATTTTAGTTTAGCAGCTATACATAGTGTTGTTGCAGTTCGGGTTTCTTTCATCCAAGAACAAGCTTTACAAAATCAGGTTGAACAGTATGTTGTGGATATACCTTGATTTATTGTACTCGAATTCAATGTGTAAGCAGTCCTCAATACCTACTTCCATCTTAATTGAAGTGTTGCCGTCTGAAGGCATCACATAAGAATGCACCCAGATATCCTGTTCCTTTACCACATCTGCCAATCGTCGCTGAACTGTGACACGGACAAAGTATCTACAAGGATAAGTTATCATGAGAACAACTATCCTCAGTCTTCTTTGATCTAGAGAATCCATAAGATTTTAGTTTCTTTTGTATTTTTTTTTTTTTTTTTTTTTTTTTTTTACCTCAGCTTGACATTGATGCCATGATAACTTTCATATTGCTTTTCCACATTCTTAAACTCGAAATCGAATGTTGTATTATTGCGAAGCTCGCCAGGCACAGCCAATTCTTGTTGCATAGTCCTGAATTCATAGTGGTTTCCACGATCATAAAAGAGCTCTTTGAAAAACAAAAACAAAGAAAAGATTCTGTCATTTGACGTCGGATAGAATTAATCGTATCGATCGCTTTAGACTCCAGTGATTTTTTGTTGCTGCGTGATAATACCTATGCTTCCAACAAACTCGACCTTGATGCCATTGTGCTCCACTTTTTTACCATCCTTGACTCTAATATTGATCTGAAGAAGAATAAAGTCGTAAGCTTCAAAAAGAAAGAAGGGAAGGAGGGGTTGCTGCTACTGAATGATTGATAGGGGAAGGAGAAGATGTTTGCTCCAGCGAGCTTTTTTTTTTTTTTTTTTTTTTTTTTTACCTTGCCTGCAACAGTCTCTCCATCAAAGTAAAGAGGAAACTTCTCGCGTCTGTCTTTGTCGACTTTGGCCTCAATCTGTTTTCGCTTTTCCTGACCATTGAAGTTGATTTCAACGTCCACCGGGGCTGAGAAGCCAAAAAGGTTCTAAAAGTGATGGGTCGGGATTACTTTTGTCAAGATGTAATGTATCATAACGCAAATTGACTTTGGCAGAGTTGTGAAACTGGCTAACTTACTGCCATAGCCATATTGAGAAAAGTAGCGCGTTGAGCGAAGGAGATATTTTTTGAAGAAATGGAGTTGATTTATTCTAATGAGAAAAAAATGAATGAGAAAGAAAGAAGTGCAAGTGGCAAGCTCGTCTGTCCCTGGTCATCCCTCACAACAGATACGCGTGTCTGTTGATTGGCCAGACTGAGTTTTGCTTTTACTGCAGAAAAATAAAAAATTTAAAGAAGCATGGCCTCATGCTTTGACATTCATTCTTCTCTTTGACCACAGTCCATCGTTTGAATGCATGGTAAGATTCATCCATTGCCTCTTTCTTACAGTTGACACTCTACTTGTATCGTGTCAGGCTTACTCGCTCACTCACTAAATTGGTGTAATATTCTTTTTCTTCCTCATTCACTCTCACTCCCCCTTTTTTTAACTGTTTCCCCTGGCTTGGTCAAATCTTTACCCGTGCAATTGATCTGCTGTTGGTTGCTGATCTGGTACCACCACATAGTCGACCCTTCACAATCGCAAACCGTCCAAGAACAGAGATATGGCTCAGTCCAATTCTCGTTCTGACAGGCCAACCAGGCGGAGTAGCGAGGATGAACCCTCAGAAGAGTCTCCTCTGCTTCGTAACGGTCAATCTCCTTATTTGGGACGTGGCTCGATGCCTGCTAGTTCCACTATCAATCAAGGGTCCTGGCGTCGTATGGCCGGTGTTTTCTTGCTCATAGCTGTGTCCTACTTGGTCATTGGTAGCATTGTTAGCTACAAGCGGCTTTCACTTCCATCTCCTAAATCCGTTGCAGATGCTACTGGTCCGTTTGATTTCTCTGCTCAATGGGCTTGGAAACATCTCGAACAGATCGCTCGACAACCTCACCCTATTAATTCGCATGAGAATTTGCGTGTTTATGATTATCTTGTCAAGGCCGTCAAGGATCTGCAGGAAGAAGCACGTCAGCTGAACAGGATTGTTGAGATTGCAGATGACAATGTCAAGATGACATTGGCCCAAAACTTCTTGAGCAACTCGACCCGTCTTGAGTTTTATGAATCATCCAATATTCTTGTGCGTGTTGTTGGCACAGAAGGCCGTGCAGAAAACAGCAAGAAAGGCCATCCTGAGGCCGTTGTGGTTGATGCTCACTATGGCAAGTAAAATCTAGTAATCTTTATTTGACACATGTGCACATGTGTTTAAAAAAAAAAAAAAAAGAAAGGATGACAAATGAGGGAAGATTATGAACATCTGTCAGCATAATTCCGTTGCCGGAGATATTTATCCCAGTCATCGAATCCATTTTGGGACATGAGAGCAAAATAACTTTCTTGGATCTTAAATATTTTATGAAACTATCACAACTGTCCCATAACTTTTTTTATTTCTCCCTTCATTATAATTATCCTTGAAGGAGGGAAGGGAAAGGAAATAATGCTGCACTGCATGCTGATGAAAACATCTGTACTGGCAAAAAATATTTGCATCTTTTGCCTTTTCTTTGCTTGATCATAATTAAACAAACTTTAATTCCTTATCAACTTTATTAGATTCTGTTCTAATTGGACATGGTGCAACAGACGATGGCATTGGCGTAGTTGTCTGCCTAGAGGTATGACAGACCTCTGATTGTTCTATAATCCTGAACTATGCTTTTTATAAGAACCATGACCTTCTAAAACTAACATATCTCGGGGGGGGGGTTTTTTTTTTTTTTTTTTTTTTTCTCTATTAATAATAGATGATCCGTAATTTAATTCACCATCCTGTCAAGCACAATGTCATCTTCAATATCAATAATGGCGAGGAAATTGGACTCTTTGGCGCAGCAGCGTTCATGAAACATCCATGGGCAGCTGACGTCAAGGCCTTTGTCAACCTTGGTAGAGAATTTTAGAAAGATGCTTAATATGCCATTATACTAATACATTATACTAATATTCACTTTTTATCCGAACCATCTGTAGAGGGGGCTGGAGCCGGTGGTCGCGCTCTCTTATTCCGCGCTAGCAATAGGGCTCTTGCAAAGTTTTATAGCAAAGTAGGAAACTCTCCCCATGCCAATGTGTTTGGCAATGATATCTTCAAGCTTGGCCTCATCA